CGCCGCGCTGACTGAGCTCGCGCTCGGCCCGGAGATCGCGGCCCGCGCTGGCTGACGCGGCGCTGTGCGCGGTGTTTGCAGCCGCGGGGCCGCCACTGCTGCGCGCGGGGGCGGCGTCCCCGGCCCGGCCCCCAGCTACCGGCTGGGTTTCCGCGATGGCCATTGTCCCCCGGTTCTGCGCGGACGGAAAGTTCCCATTGTTGGGGGCCGTTCGTGGTCAGCGCGAGCCCGATCGAGTGGCTACACCGCAGGGTGGGCAGGAGTGCGTCAGCCGGAGCCCGTCCCTGCCCTCCGTGGCAGCCTGGCCGGGTGACAGCCGCCAGGCCACTTCCCAACTCGCTCTGCAGGCGGCAGGCGTGGGGTCCCCGGAGCGCACCCCGAGCCGGGCTCTGGGCGGCCGCTGACGGACGCCGCGGTCACCGCCCAGGGGCCTCGTGGCCCGCGCGCCGTGGCTCAGCGTGCGGCCGAGACAGCGCGTGTCGCCCGGCCCAGCCGAGGGTGGCCCAGTCGGGTGCGGAGGCCCCACCCGGGCGGGGGCCGAACAGCCGCTCCTTTGTACCCGGCGGCTGCCACAGACCGCGCATTGATGGCGCGGCTCGGGGAGGTGCGCGAGGCGGACGGACGGGCAGATGGCGGCGCCCCGCCCCGGCCCGCGCCCTCTCCCCGCGGCTCTGCGGCCTCCGGAACAATGTCATTTTTTATGAATGAAAGTGGGCCCGGCGCTTGAATGCGCGTGTCATTCAGCGGCGTGACAGAGGCCGTCGGGAGGTCAGCGCGCGCTTTTAGCGCCGGCTCGGACGGCCGCGCTTCAGGGCGCCGAATGGGCGGGGAGGGGGGCGCGCATTAGCATGCGCATTCGGATAAAGATATTACTCCCGCCGGTGTCAGCGGCCAGGCCAGGGCGGGTGCCCGGACCCTGCGGACCCCTGCCCCCCGCGCCACGAGCCGGCTTCCCGCTCTCTGCGCGCTGGGACGTCGCTGGCCCCCGCCCCTGCGCCGAAGCTGGTGAAATAGGTAGGGAGTTGATAGGTCAATAAACTTAATCCTGTTCCTTAACGAGATGGGCCGGGCAGTAAAAATACAAAGACCTCGTGAAATTTACAGAGGTCCCGACTGGCGCTTTCCCCGGGAACATAAATTACGGGGAGCGGGAGCTGGCAGGGGTCAAGGGCGGCGGAGAGGGCTTGCTCCTCACCCTCAGGCCCAGCCAGGTGGCAGCCTCCTCCCTGTCTCCACCCAGGGCCGGGGGTGGGGGAGAGGGGGCCGGAGAGGACTCCAGGGGGTGCAGGGCCTCTCCCCACCCCCTCCTGGGCAGACCTGGACTTTGAGCCCTGCAGTCTCTGGGTGGTTCATTAACCCGGGGTGATCCTCCTGGCCCTGAAGCCTTGTCCGGAGCCCAAGGCCACCCCGAAGGCCCTCAGGTCCCACTTGGGTTTGGAATTGGCCCCAGGTGACCCTTCTTACAGTTGAGCCCATTAGGGAGCAAGGGGCTTGAGGTCTCCTGAGGGCCCAGATCCTGCGCAGGCCTGGGCTGGGGGCAGGGTTGGGCGGCCCAGGGAGAGCAGGCACCCCGCAGGGTGCTTTACAAGTGAATGGAAGAGCTGTGAACCCGGACATCTTTTTCTTTTTTTCTTTTTTCTTTTCTTTTTATTTTGCGGGGAGCAGCTGCCTGGACTTCCAGTGCTCTGGACTGCCAGCCGTTCGCCCCGGGGCTTGGGGTGCCCTCCTGGAACCTCAGTTTCCTCACCTGTCCAGGAGGACTGATAATGGCAGGGTTCTTTGGAGGATTAGGCAGATAATCCCGGTAAGCCCTCATTAGCCCTCCCGGTCTCCGGATCCCTTTTTTCTTTTTTCTGACTTTGTTACAAAACTCTCCGGAATGTCTCTGAGTGGGATGGGAGGGGTGCACAGGAGGCCAGGCCCTGGCCCTCAGTTGCAGGCTCCCTTGGGGGCATTGACGTCTCATGGGCTCTTTTCTTTCCCTCAGGTACCTGACAAAGCCACCCACACCCGGGGCACAGAGAGCTCCACACTTGGAGCCAGAACGTTTTGTTCCCTGACCCCAGCCCTTGTCTGGCTCCAAACCCTAAGTCCCTTGGGAGAGTTGGCTGCAGAAACCAGTCTGAAATTGATGCTTGTTCTTAGGTGCCCTGAGCGCCTGAGCAGTACTGACCCAGGACTGCCAGCAAGGTCTCCCAGGCAGGGATTCGGCCCTCCCAGCAGGCCGTCCTTCTGGGCCACATTGGTCCCAGACGAGAGACCAGGGCAGAGTGCCCCTCACTCTCCTCCCCTCATCTGTCATGCGCCAACCACCTGACAGGTCCTGCAGGCCTGCAGGGGGATTTCTACCTTGGGCCACAGTGCAGGAAACTGAGGCACAAAGTCAGGAAGAGCTGGGCCCAGCACGGCTCCTCCGGGACACAGCGCTCCATGGCCCACAGCAGTGGACTCTCCTTGGTGTGTGCCCCTGGCTGGACTCGGCAGCCTGTGGGGCTTGTGGGACAGCAGGAGCACGAGTGCCGCGTGGGTGCATAGAGTCCCCTCTGTGGGTAAAGAGCCCCCCACCCCGTGTGCTTGCAGCTGGCTGAGATGTGGGGGCTCCCCAGGCCCTCTCCGTGCCCACCAAGCCCATCCCACGCTGTCATCTTGGTGTCCAGGTGCCTGACTCCCTGCAAGGTTTTCCCCAGGGCCTCAGTCGCAGCAGCGGACACTGCCGCCCAAGGCTGCCTGTGGTCCAGGTCACCCTCCTGACACCTGTCAGGCAGGGCGGGTGGCCGGGTCAAAGGTTGGCCCTTTGCCCTCCCTGTCCCACACTAGCAGCCATCTGCTGGGCGTAGCTGGCCTGGGGGCTGCCCTCAGTCCCTCAGCGGTCCCTTGCTGGACTGGGTTGAAGCAAATACTTGTGTGGATGGCTTGACCTGTTGTCCTTGTCCAGACCAAACCGGAACCAACCGGCTGTTGCCTTTGGGCCAGGGCCTGGGGTTGCAGCTACGACGGCCAGCTTGTTCCTGCCTTCTGGGGGGCCTCAGGCAGCTCCCAGCACTGGGTGGTCCCCACAGGACATGGCGGCCAGGTCTGGAGAGCTGGAGGTCGGCCCAGGAGCCCCTACTGTGGGGCCCACCCAAGGGTTGGCCCTGACTAGGAGTCCCTGTGGGACACAGGCTCCCGTGGGTCCTTTTGGGGGATGAGTGGGTCCCTGTGGCTGGCAGGCTTCTGGTGTGCGCTGGGCTTGTGGGGCTGGCTCGTGTGGGCCGGGCAGAGCTGGGCTTGGCCTGAAAGCCAGGGACTGGTGTGGACAGAGTGGGCAGCTGGGGCCCGAATCTAGGCCACGCGTCGGTAGAATGACAAGTAACAGTGCGGCTAGCCTAGCTGGGTCTGGGGAAGGTCTGCCCAGGGGGACCACCCATTCCTGTCCTGGGCCCCGAGCCCGGCCACCCCTGTGCCCAGCATTGTCTGGCCCTGGCAGGGAGGCTCGGTGATGGTTACCCTTGCAGGTGGTGTCCCTGGGTCCCAGACCTCGGGGCCTCTCAGGTTCCAGGTGGCCCGGGGCAGGGGAGAGGCCCAGGCCCAGGCCCAGGCCCAGCTGTGGGAAAGGCTTGTACCCCAGCCCCTCACCACCTCTTGGCTCAGCTCTGTGCCGCTTGCCTGTTGCCCGCAGCGTCCTCAGCCTGGGGCATCATCAAAGATCAGTGGGCAAGAGCCCACCGCCAACCGCCTGAGACCCAGTGGTCCGGTGGGTCCTGTCCTCTGACAGGGCTGTGTGGAGGGTGCTGTGAGCTGTGGGTTCACATGTGCCCTAAAGCCCCTGGCTCCTCTAGCTGCCTCTGCCTGCCTGCGGCCAGCTGTGCACAGCTCTGCTGTGTGTGCGTGTGTGCACGCAGCCCGAGCCCAGCCTCCTCAGCCCTGTTGCGGGCGTGCCCTGTTCCCCACTTCCCCCTGAGCTGCTCTTGCTGGTGAGATGAGAGTTGGGGTGCTGGAGGGACTCCCTCTGGACCGCCCGCTCTTCTCCCTGGAGCTTTAATTCAGCCGGAGGTTACCAAGTGGAGCCTGTTTGGTGATGCCCATGAACTGAGAACTAAGGATGGATTTTCGGGGCCAGGGATGTAGCTCAGTGGTTTTGCCGCCTGCTGCGTAAGCGCAAGGACCCGAGTTCGATCTCTGGTGCCAAAAAAGAAAAAAAAGAATGGATTTTTGTTTCCAGATAGTGGCAGAAAGAATAAGACTTCGTGACCCTGTGTGTGTGTTGCCTTGGGGAAGGCAGCCAGGGCCTTGCGCTCATTTGGCTGGGCCCCCTCGGAGCGGCACCCGGGCTCCCTCGTGTCTGAGTGGTGGTGTTGGCAGGCAGGTCTCTGGAGGCAGAAGTGAGTCCTTGGGCCCGAAGCTGGTTGGTGGAGCTGATGATGCTGGACTCCGCCCAGCCTCTGCAGGGGCCACCTGGGCAGCCCTGTTGGAGAGCTTGAGCCCGGCCCAGGCTGAAGACGCTTTCTCCTGCAGGCCCTGCTGCAGCCTCGTCCATGGGCTGCACAGTGGAGTGCTGTGTCCCGGCTTGTCTGCTTTGGGTGCCTATCTCACCGCTGCCCATTTCACCCACAGAGGCTCTGGGGCCTGAGCTGGGCCAGCAGGAGCAGGTGGTCTTTGGCAGTGGGGACACTGTGGAGCTGAGCTGCCACCCACCCGGAGGTGGCTCTGTGGGCCCCACAGTTTGGGTCAAGGATGGCGAGGGGCTGGTGTCCTCCGACCGGATCCTGGTGGGCCCCCAGCGGCTGCAGGTGCTGAATGCCTCCCACGAGGATTCTGGGGCCTACAGCTGCCGGCAGCAGCTTCTGCAGCGCGTGCTGTGCCGCTTCAGTGTGCGCATGACAGGTAAGGGCCTGCTGAGCTGTGATGTCTGAAGAGGGGCTGTGAGGGGCCCCTGGGTCCCCTGGGCAGGTCCTGGCAGCTGAGGAGCAGTGGGGACCTGGATGTGGCCTGTCACAGGCCCAGTGCCCACGTACACCCTGCCTCTTTGCAGATGCCCCCTCTTCAGGAGATGATGAAGACGGGGAAGACATGGCTGAAGACACAGGTTAGACAGATCCCAGGTCCAGAGCTGGCTGGGGTGGGGACAGCTTCCTCGATGCCCAGTCCCACCCTCTGCTGGCAGATGGGACACGGAGGCCTGGGGGAGACCTCTGGCCCTGGGTTCTAGGTGGCATCCTGAGGGTGGGAGGGGGGCAGCCATGCTGCAGGTGGGAAGAGCAAGCCACAGGGCCTTCCAGGAACAGTGGCCTGGCCAGGGGCTGTCCCTGGTGTGAGCACAGCAGGGCAGAGGGCTCAGGTGGCTGCCATGGGAAGGGCTGGGCACTGCACTATTGGAAAAGGGGCTCTAGCAGTGATTTCCCCCGGTGGCATCAGGGTGACTGCCAGGTGTGGGCTGGAACAGGGCCAGGTGGAGGACTCTGGCTGGTGTGTAGGGGCTAGGGCTTTCTGGTTTTGGAGGAGCTGAATGTGAGAAGCTGAGAGATGTGTGCAGAGGAGGGTGATGGCCAGGCGGACATGGGGTCCTGCACCGTGTGGCCTGGGCCAAGGGTCCAAGCCCTGCCGGGCTTCCTGTTCCCAGGCAGCTCCTTGCCCTACCCCCAGGAGGCCTTGCTCCCAGGGTCCTCACACTCCTCCCCTGAGTCTCTGTGTCCTCGTCCAGGAGACGGGTGTATCCCTGGGGTGGAGGGCAGTGAGGGTTGCCATGGAGAATCCAGGCAAGGTAGGCTGTCCCCAGCCCAGCTCAGAGGAGGGGTAGAGCCCCCGTGGAGGTGAGGCTGGGTGTGGGGCGGCCCTGGGAACCAGGGCTGGGAGGAGATACCTCCAGGGCACTGCAGGGGTAGCTGAGGGTCTCTGAAGGTCCTGCAGACCTGGAGGGTGACCTCTGGCCTGGGAAGCCCTGTCCTGTCCTGCAGCTGCCGTAGGAGCAGCTGCCTCGGGGACTGTCCAGCTGGGGTAGGGGCTGAGAGAGACCCAGTCTCCCCAGCAAGAGTGAGACCTCTGCTCCCTGCTGGTGCTGGTCCTCACTGCACCTCTGCCAGCAGGGGCCCCATACTGGACTCGGCCTGAGCGGATGGACAAGAAGCTGCTAGCCGTGCCGGCCGCCAACACTGTGCGCTTCCGCTGCGCGGCTGCCGGCAACCCCATGCCCTCCATCTCCTGGCTGAAGAATGGCAAGGAATTCCGTGGGGAGCATCGCATTGGGGGCATCAAGGTGGGTGCGGGTCAAAGGGAGCTTGGCCTCTGGGCCCTGGGGGTGGAGCCTGTGTTTTCACCACCCTCCCGCCTCTGGCAGCTGCGGCACCAGCAGTGGAGCCTGGTCATGGAGAGCGTGGTGCCTTCGGACCGTGGCAACTACACGTGTGTGGTGGAGAACAAGTTCGGCAGCATCCAGCAGACATACACGCTGGATGTGCTGGGTGAGCACCAGCCAGGCGAGGGTAGGGCCGGCCGGCGCGGGCCCTGCTGAGCCCCTGCTGTCCTGTGCCCGCAGAGCGCTCTCCGCACCGGCCCATCCTGCAGGCGGGGCTGCCGGCCAACCAGACAGCAGTGCTGGGAAGCGATGTGGAATTCCACTGCAAGGTGTACAGCGATGCACAGCCGCATATCCAGTGGCTGAAGCACGTGGAGGTGAACGGCAGCAAGGTGGGCCCTGACGGCACACCCTACGTCACTGTGCTCAAGGTGGGCACCGGCCTTGGATGGGAGTCCGTGCAAGGGCACTGGGGTAGGCTGGGTATTGGCACTTTTGGGGAGGGGCTCAGTCGGCCACCCCGGGTGCTGAGCCTGGGACTTGCTCCTTCGCTGTGCTCCACGGTGACGCCCAGCTCAGAGTTGGGCCCATGGAGGTCTCTCCGGGTAGGGCCTGCCTGTGACAGCGTACAGGGCCGGGGGTAGCACCTGGCCCTCCCAGAGTCCTGTGGACCTCACAGTGCTGGGGCGTGGCTCCAGAGCTGGCCCAGGTGGCCGTGTCCTCATTGGGGTCAGTACGGGGGGGCTGGCAGGCCACCCTGCCGGCCTCCTTTGCCCTTAGCTTTGTTCCCATGGCCACAGGGGTGGGAGCCACCCCAGTTGGGACAGTTGTGACACTGGAAGCCCAAAGAGAAACATCTGTTCCAAGACAAGGCAGTCTAGTGGGGCTGGGGAGCAGGCGCCCTGGGCAACCGTGGAGTCCGGAGCTGGCTGTGCCTCCCCTGTGGGTGCTTGTGAAACCCCAGGAGGGGCAAGCAGGGCTGGCAGAGGGCTCTGGGGTCTGGGTCGGAGGTGGGAGATGGGGAGTCCGCATCCTGGGAGATGCCACATCCCACCCACCGCTGTGCGGTGCCTCCACGCCGCTGCCTCTAGGGAGCCTTCCAGCCCTTCCTCTGGTCTTCGTCCAGCCGCCTCCTGCCTTGCGCCCAGCCCAGACTGCCTCCGGGCGTGCCTGAGCCGGGTCTCTTGTCCCCGCAGTCCTGGATCAGTGAGAGTGTGGAGGCAGACGCGCGCCTCCGCCTGGCCAATGTGTCGGAGCGGGACGGGGGCGAGTACCTCTGTCGAGCCACCAATTTCATAGGCGTGGCCGAGAAGGCCTTTTGGCTGCGTGTTCACGGGCCCCGAGCAGGTAACGACTCTGTCCCACGCCTGCCTGGCACAACGCGCTCCAGCGCCGACGCCCGGCCGTGTGCCTGCCTGCACGCCCCTGCACGCCCCCGTCCTGCTCCTGCCCGCCCGCCCCGCGGCTCCCTCTGCTTGCGGCTGCTCCGCCAGACACGGATGGCACCAACTGCTGCTATGGCCACCCGCTTTGAGCCCCGCGGGCCTGCACTGGCCCTGCCTGCCCTGCCATGTGCATCCCAGAGAAGGCCCCCAGCCCACCAGGGCCGTGCCCCACAGTGTGAGCCCCACCTGCCGCCTCTCCCCGGCCGCTGAAGCCAGCGCCTCCTCGCTGTCGCCCAGCATCTGTTTGTCTGCCTGTCCACCTGTCCGCGTCTGCACCCTCCCCTCTGTGCCAACCCTGCATGCTGCCCCTGAGCAGCCCTGTGCTGCCTGTCCGCCTGCCTGCCGCTCACCTGGGACAGAGGACTCGCCGGTGGAGGGACTGGCTCGGGCTCAGTGCCCATGCTCGCGGCAGAGGCCTGGGCAGCGTGGCCGTGGCAGGACCGCGGTGGTGGCTGAGGCGGTGGTGGCGGCGTTTTCTTTTCAGCCTGGCCGGAGCGTGGCCGCGTGGCCTGGGCCACGGCGCCCGTGGGGAGGTGCTGGCGCTCGCCTATCGCGCTGTGTTCTCTCTTTGTAGACGGCGGGCGCTAACACCACCGACAAGGAGCTAGAGGTTCTGTCCTTGCGCAATGTCACCTTTGAGGATGCGGGGGAGTACACCTGTCTGGCGGGCAATTCTATCGGGTTTTCCCATCACTCTGCGTGGCTGGTGGTGCTGCCAGGTACTGGCTCTGCGGCTGCTTGCTCTGCACCTGTCTTCCGGGGTGCTGGCTCGGGACACGCCACAGCCGCCAGGGCTGGGCTGGGCAAGGCTAGGGCGTGCCTGGCCTTAACGCTTGGCATGGGAACTTGACCTGGCCCTGCCTTGGCCCTGGGGGCCCCCAAAGCCCGTAACCAGGGCACCAGGCCCTGCACTGTGGCTTCAGCGTCTCCCGGGTGCCTGGGTGACGGTTTGGGTGCTGCTGGCTCCACTAGGCTCTTTCTGTCTTGGGCCTCCCCTCCTGACTCACGTGCTTGGATGGTAGCACCAGGCGATGGGGCGCAGAAGCCTACGGTCCCCCAGCTCTGAGCCCCGGGGTGGCACCCCTGCCTGTCCCTGCCAGTGCGTGTGGTTCTGGCTCCCAGTGGTTCCCAGGAGGCCGGGCTAGGCCCCAACCCCTGTGTCTTTGCAGCAGAGGAGGAGCTGGCAGAGGCGGACACGGCTGGCAGTGTGTATGCGGGCATCCTCAGCTACGGGGTGGTGGGCTTCTTCCTCATCATCCTGGTGGTGGCAGCTGTGACACTCTGCCGCCTACGCAGCCCCCCCAAGAAGGGCCTGGGCTCTCCCACCGTGCACAAAGTCTCCCGTTTCCCGCTCAAGCGACAGGTAACAGAAAGTAGATACCAGGTTTCCAGCCGCCCGTCTGCCCGCCCAGCCCTCCAGAGCTCCAGGGCCCACGTGTCCTGGCTCCTACTGCCCGGGAGGACCCCCCTGTCTCAGGCTGAGCCTTTCTGCACAGTTGGGTGGGCTGATTCTCCCCTCACTGGTCTCTGTATGGAGCCTGGGTTCCTCTTTCTTTTGGGCTGCACAGGGGATCGAACTCAGAACCTGGCGCTTATGAGGCAGGCACGGCACCACTGAGCTAAATCCCCAGCCCAGGTTCCTCACTTTAAAATTCTTGCCTCACTGTTCCAAGGAAGCCCAGCAGCCCCCAGACCCAGTGCCCTTCCCCACGTGGCCATGGCCTCGCTGGCCCTGGGGCTGTGCCGCCCACCCTTCCCGGCCCTGGCCCCTGCCGTACGGCGCCAACCTGCCCCTGCCGACCCAAGCAGGTGTCCTTGGAGTCCAACTCGTCCATGAACTCCAACACGCCACTGGTCCGCATCGCCCGGCTGTCCTCGGGAGAGGGCCCCGTGCTGGCCAACGTGTCCGAGCTCGAGCTGCCTGCCGACCCCAAGTGGGAGCTGTCCCGGTCCCGGTCAGTGGTGGCGAGGGGTGGGTGGCAAGGGCCAGATGGCTGGGCCCAGCGGGCCTCTGTGCTGGGTGCTGGGCTAGCACAGCAGAGGCCTGCCTGGACTCAGGCGGGAAGGGGGCCAGGGGCTGTGGAAGATGTGGCCGTGGTGGGTGTGGGGAGCCCTGTCAGGAGGGGCCCAGGCCAGGGTGCCCACACTCACTGCCTTGCCTTTCCTGCCAGGCTGACCCTGGGCAAGCCTCTCGGGGAGGGCTGCTTCGGCCAGGTGGTCATGGCGGAGGCCATTGGCATCGACAAGGACCGTGCCGCCAAGCCCGTCACTGTGGCCGTGAAGATGCTGAAAGGTGGGTAGGGAGGCAGCGAGGAGCCTGCGGGGCTGTGGGTGGCAGCGCCTGACATCGCTTCCCCTTCTGGGCACAGATGATGCCACTGACAAGGACCTTTCGGACCTTGTGTCAGAGATGGAGATGATGAAGATGATCGGCAAGCACAAGAACATCATCAACCTGCTGGGGGCCTGCACGCAGGGTGGTGGGTCCTGGGAGGCGGGCGCGGTGGGCGGGCGGTGGGGGCTGCCCGGGCGGCCCCTGAGGTGCTTGTGCCGCAGGGCCCCTGTATGTGCTGGTGGAGTACGCGGCCAAGGGAAACCTGCGGGAGTACCTGCGGGCTCGGCGGCCCCCGGGCCTGGACTACTCCTTCAACACCTGCAAGCTGCCCGAGGAGCAGCTCACCTTCAAGGACCTGGTGTCCTGCGCCTACCAGGTGGCCCGGGGCATGGAGTACCTGGCCTCCCAGAAGGTGAGCAGGGAGCCGGGCTGTGGTCCAGTCCTGGAGCAGGACGGAGGTGCCCGGCATCACTCAGCCCCGTCTCCCACCCAACCCGGCCCAGTGCATCCACAGGGACCTGGCCGCCCGCAACGTGCTGGTGACTGAGGACAACGTGATGAAGATAGCGGACTTTGGCCTGGCCCGCGATGTTCACAATCTTGACTACTATAAGAAGACCACCAATGTGAGTCCCTCCCCGCCCCCAGGATGGGTGGCCAAGGCAGGGGACACCTGGTAGCTGACGCCTGCCCTTTTCCCTCAGGGCCGGCTGCCAGTGAAGTGGATGGCACCTGAAGCCCTGTTTGACCGAGTCTATACCCACCAGAGTGACGTGTATGTGACATGGGGTGGGGGTGAGGGGTGAGCTGCCCCCCCTCGGCCCACAGTGACGCATCCTGGGGTGGGGGCTGTGGAAGGAAGCGGCCCATGGCCAGCTGGGCCCTGACCTGGGCCCACACCTGCAGCTGGTCCTTTGGGGTCCTGCTCTGGGAGATCTTCACACTGGGGGGCTCGCCGTACCCCGGCATCCCCGTGGAGGAGCTTTTTAAGCTGCTGAAGGAGGGCCACCGCATGGACAAGCCAGCCAACTGCACGCAGGACTTGTGAGTGTGGCATCACCCAGCAGCCCGGGCTCTGGGGCGGGTGGGGTGGGCACCAGGCCAACGCTGCCTCACCTGGCTGCAGGTACATGATCATGAGGGAGTGCTGGCACGCTGTGCCCTCGCAGAGGCCCACCTTCAAGCAGCTGGTGGAGGACTTGGACCGCATCCTCACTGTGACATCCACCGATGTGAGTGTCACCCACCCCCCGTGCCCGGCAGGAGGTGCTGGTGGCGGGCACTCACTGACCAGGCCCCCGCCCCTGCCCACAGGAGTACCTGGACCTGTCAGTGCCCTTTGAGCAGTACTCGCCCGGCGGCCAGGACACACCCAGCTCCAGCTCCTCGGGGGACGACTCTGTGTTCACGCACGACCTACTGCCCCCGGCCCCGCCCGGTGGGGGCCCTCGGACGTGAAAAGCAGCGGCCCTGCAGGCCAAGCCCCCATCAATGTGAGAGTGAGCCCCAGCCTGCCCTGCGGCCCTGTGCCCAAGCCTGGTACGGATGGGCACAGACAGATGCTGCGTATCTGTGTGTGTGTGTGAGAGAGAGGTCTCCAGGCCCGGGCACAAGGTCCCCGGGACGCCTGCGCTGCTGTACAAGGCCCTCCTGAGTGACCGGCACCAGGAGGCCAAGGCCTTGCTCTGGGGATGCCAGACTTAGAATGTAAAGGGGCCGCTGCCTCCCTCATCCCCACTACCACCCCCAGGGAGCATCTCAGTGGGCTGCGCCCCCTCCAGTCCCCCAAGCTGAGCCTGCAGGGCACCTTGCACCTGGGGCTGAGCAGCAGCTCCCCCACTTCCAGGCCTCCCCACTTCCCACCCTGCCCCTCAGACTGAAATTACGGGTACCTGAAGGAGGGAGCCTTTACCTTCTATCTGAAAGGGTTATTCAAGAATAGTTGTATATTTCTATAAATAGATGCTCTGTATATGGTATATATACATATATATAAGAATATCTATGTGGGAGAGGTGGTGGCAGGGCCTGGGCGGGTGGAGGAGCAGAAGGGCCTTTCTGGCACCGCAGATTTGTTTTAAAAATTGTACTTGGGAGTTCGAGGCCAGTCTGGGCTACATAGTGAGTTCAGGGCCAGCCTGAACTACAAAGTGAGACCCTGTCTCCAAAGAAAACATTGTACCTGGACCTGTATATTTGTAAAGCTATTTATCGACCCCCAAATCCCTGGCCTCTCTACATAGGTAGTGTTTAGCCGGTCACACGGCAGAGATTTAATTTGTAACTTATTAATAGCCGAGAAGGTTTATGCTGCGTTTCGAGGTGGTGAGAATGTATGTCCAGCCGCAAGGCCGCCTCACAGGGCGTGTTGCTGGAGGTGGGTCCAGCGAGTGTTTTTCCTTTGGCCTTTTCAGGCAAATTAGATTTCTACAGGATCATTCTTTAGATTTATTTTTTTGGACTTCAGAGCAAGCTGGTATTTTCATACAAATTCTTCTAATTGTCGCGTATTCCAGGCAGGAGCCAGTGTCTAAGGAGGGCCGGCTCTGCATGCAGATCCAGATGTTACTAGATGTTACAAGTTTATATATATCTATATATATAATTTATTGAGTTTTTACAAGACGTATTTGTTGTAGACTTAACACTTCTTACACAATACTTTTAGACTTTTATAGCCTGAACTGCTACCTTTCAAAGCTTGGGAGAGAGAGCCGTGAATTCAGTTTTGTTCCCTTTTGTACTGTTCTTGGGCCCGAGCCTGGGTGGCTGACCCTGCCCGTCCGTCAGCTGCTGGCCAGCCAGCAAGGCCAGGACGGCCATTCAGGTCTTTCCTCAGGGTCCAGCCTTGGCCAGAAGTGTCGGCCCATACCAGCAGATGACTTTGTTGACCCAGATGTCCTTTCCAAGAATAAAGAGATGACTGGTTCCCAGCCCTGCCTGTGCCTAGCGCCTCTTGCTGTGTCCTGGGATTGGCGGGGAGGGCAGCCTGCAGCAGCTGGGGAAGAGCAGCTGCTGCAGCCCCCAGGTGGGGGTGCTCGTGCCCTAGATCCCAGGAGCTGGCTGTCCTGGTCATGCCTGCCTTCCTGGTCTCTGGGTCCCATGCCTGGGAAATGAGCCCTAGATGGACCAGGCTAGGGAGTGTGTTCTTGTCCCCTGGCCCTGATGCGCAGCGGGCAGAACTTCAGGGGGGCCACCGAGCTTTGGGGTCCCAAGGTGTCTGCAGGAGGGGCTGTGGAGGCACTTGGCCTGTGCCTGCCTTCTGAGGCCCAGTGGTTGAGGGGCTGCATCCAGGCCCTGGTGGCTGGGTCTGAGGCCTTCCTGTCACCCGCCCCAGGAGGGGAGGCTTCCAGGTGTCCCTGTGTGAGCTGTGCATTGAACCAAGTCCCCACCCCACCAGGCCTTCCCACCTGGTGGGCAAGTGGGCGATGGGGCATGGCAGGTCACCCACACGAGGGGGGTAGGTGGCCAGGGGGGGTAGGTGGCCAGGGGTGGTGGGGGACACCTGGAACTGAATGAATTCCCCTGGCCCCAGGAGAGGGCAGATGCTGATGCCAAACCCCATGCCCAACACCATTCAGGCTGTGTTAAGGTCTGGGGGCTTGGACACTACATTCCCTGCCAGCAGCTGCATAAGGGACACTGTGCCCCCAAGTCCCCAGAGACTGTCCTGGCCACGTGGACACCTGGTGACACTGACCCATGGGGAGCAGGCCAGTGGGGCGGGGTGAGCAGGGCTGGCTAGGCAGGTACAGCATAGGCGCTGAGCTGTGCCCCAAAGCCTCCCGCCTGGGCCTGGTGCCTACAAGGGGTCTGGCTGGGGTGCTGCGGGTGTGGGGCCGGGGTGGCCAGGTGATGCCCACAGCAGGTACCTGCCCTCCGGGGTGATGGCACCAGAGCTCGCCCTTGGAGCTCCCCTGCCTGTTGCTGAGGAAGGCTCCTGTGCTCCTCAGTGCCTGGGGATGCAGCGTCGGCACTACCGACAGCCATGAAGCTGGGCAATTCCAGTGCTCCAGCGACCCCTGCGGGATGTCCTGAGTAAGCTACCAAGAGGGCAGGAAGCCGCCGGGCTTCTCCCAGTGTTCTGCATCGCAGTGGGCACTGGGGTGCATGGTGTTTGCTCCGGCAAATGGTGCCTTTCATGCTGGCTGCTGTTGTCCCCAGCTGGGCCCCCGGAGGTGCCCAGGGCACTGGAGATCAGAATGGGGTCAGAAAGGGGCAGCCAGGTGCCTGCTGCAATCCAGCTCAGGGCCCTCAAGATGGGCCAGCCCAAGCCAGGACCCTGAGCAGCCTGGTACCCAGAGCTCAAGGAGGAGCAGCCTGTCCCGAGGTGGCCAGAGGGTCAGGAGAGGACCTGTGTCTCCTGCTGAGACCTCCCACTCAGCTCCCCTCTGCCTCACCTGCCCACAGGGTGCCGTGCACAGGCTGGGAACAGGCTGCAGGGTGAGCGCAGGCTCCTGTCCCGGGTATCCTGAGTCGGGACACGGGCTCCAGCACTGGTGCCCACTGCATGGGGTCCATCCCAGGTGCAATTTGAGGGCAGTGCCCAGTCTCCCAGGACCCCGACACATCCACTGAGGGCCCTCAGGGTGGGGAGAGTGACCGGGCAGCGTGCTCACCAACCTGGACAAACCACAAGACAGACAAGTTATCAAGTGGCACTTTACAGCCTCCTTACATCAAACTGTCCAGAAAGCACGCTTGGCCTATCAATGCAGAGCCCTGGGCCAGCCCGGCACACTGTGTGATGTCTGGCGTGACAGGGATGGTGTCAAAGGCCCGGGCAGGAGGCCGGAACCAGGGCTGGAGCCCTGGGAAAGGCCAGGCCCGCCCATCCGGCAGCCCAGCAGGGACTTCGCTAACGCTGGGTTTCCAAGTCAAATGGTGCAAAAGAACCACCTGGAGCTGCTACAGGAACGTGGACCTGACGTCCTAAAAACTTTTACGTAGCTGTTACACATGGCCGGCCAGAAGGTGGAAAACGGTTCCCTTGCCAGTCCCCGGGACCTTGTTGACAGCCACCCCCCGAAGGCCGGTTTCAGAAATACACAGAGCCCTCCACGTTCACCAAGTCCAGACTGCTCTTCCACAAGGATGGAGGGCGGGCGGCGGAGTGACGAGGGGATGTGGGTGCAGTGCAGCTCCTGAAGACTCTGGAAGGCCGAGTGCGGACGCTGGGCAGCTGTGAAACACAGACAGCTGAACAGCTGCCTTTGGAGTGTCGGCCCACACAAGCCCCACTTCCTCCTGGTGGATCTAGCCTCATACCGCACAGAGGGGCAGCAGCAGTAAATTAGGGTCAGTATAGCAACATACAGCATGGGGAAAACGCAGTGTGAGGAAAACTCCCTAAAACTACTCAGCCCTCCCGCCACGTGCCACCAAGCCCTGTGGTACGTGGAGGGCGAGCCCAGCCCTGAGACGATGCTGCAGACCCGAGCAGGACTTGGTGACAGGCCTGTGTGGGACACACTGGGTACCCGCAGGCCTGTTCTCAGAAGTGAGTTCACTGGGACAGCCGGGGGCTGAGCTGCCAAGGAAGGCAGGGCTGGTGGCCTCAGAGCCATGACACGTGCCCTCCCCACAGGATGGGAATGCAATCAGCCCTGCGGCATGTACCACCTCATTCCTACTTGGCGAGCACTCCCCTGGGTGGCAAGAAGCTTCAAGTAACTGAGAGGGTTCTCCCTCCCTTCGAGGGCAGCGCTCTTGGCTCCATTCCTGTGCCTTCTGCAGGCCTGTGGCTGAGTCTTCACAGGACACTCCTGCTGGTGACCAATGTGGCCCCAAGGGACCACCTGCCTGCCACCAGGGAGAAAGGCCCTGGCCACTCCCCAGGGAGCTGCTGACTCAGAGGGCCTAGGCAAATGGGGTGTCGGTGGCCCGGCTGAGCCTGTGGGGAGGCCACGTCCACATGACCCTTTCTCTCTCCGGGGAGGACCAGCTGGTCTCCAGGACTGGGGTAAGGCCATGTAGGGGCGGCGCCCGGTGGGTTCACCTCAGGGGGAGAAGCCACGCAGGGCCCTGGGGTGCTGGCGGGGCGTGGGGGACTGGGGCGTGACTGGGCAGGAAGGCAGCATTTTGCATCATCCAGTGTGGAGCACCTCAGGCCCAGACTCGAGGCCTCAATCCGGACTTGTGTCAGATGCTACTCAAGAGTCAGGCAGACCGTCATTATGAAGATTAGTTAATGAATTAGGTGCAGATCAAAAGTAAATCAAGAAAGAGTTCCAGTAGACACAACGGGATCCACGGGAGACACCGTGCTGTTAGGGCGAGGCACGGAGAGGTCAAGGACATGGCCCAGCAAACATGCGCAGACAGACACTGCCATGGACAGTTCAGAACCAGCATCCGCAGACTGGATGCAGGAGCAATCCTCAGAGCCTGGGGCTTTCTGCGGTGTCTGTGGGGTGGCACATCTGGCCGGCTCCACCTGGCATCAGCTCCACAGTCCTCACCTTCCTCCCAGGCGCCTTCCTGCCCAGCCTGGCCGAACAAGCCATCTCTGGGCCACTCAGCAGCACACCACGGTGCCGGTCCAGTCACGGTTCCCGGAGGCTCCTAGGAATCCAGACTGAGTCTTTGTGGAATGATGAAAATTAAAATTACTCGGTTACAGAAGTTTCTGATTTATTCTAGACCAAATATTAGAATCGCCACAGAATCACCTCAAAGCAGTCACTCTCACGTCATTTCCACCACGACGGTGCGGCAGGCAGAGGTGTGGCGGGGCCGCAGGCCTAGTTCTGCACCTCTGCCGCCTCCTTCTCGGCCTTCTCCTTGGCCTTCTCCTGCTCCCCCACCTTCTCTTCCTTCTCCAGTGTGGCCACAATCTCAGCCACCTGGCTGGTGGAGATGTGTATGTCTTCTTTGTCTACCAGCTCGATCACCTGCACCGAGGAAGGGGGCTTAGCAGGCTCCAGGCCATGCAGTGACTGTGCTCCCTCTACAGCCCAGGGAGGTGGGACGCTGCCCCTGCCCTGGGGCCATGGACAGTAAGCAAGGCTGCCAGCCCCAAGTCCCCTGGCCAGTGCCCGGGTGTGGCCTGTATGTGGCCTCCCCAGACCAAAGCACTGGAGGTGGGGGCCAGACCGAGAAGGCGAGAGAGCGGAAGATGCTGGGGACAGGAGCCTGACGGCGCCCTGGTTTTAGCGGATTGAAAGAAATAAGCCAGTATTTGTGGTCACGTCTGGAGCACCACTGGGGCCACGGGGGCAGTTTCTCTCCAGGATTGTAAATGACTCAGGAAGGCGCTGAGGAGCTGCAGGTTGGTCCAGACACCCCAGGCAGGCTGCATCCTGTCCAGGCCTTGGGAGCCGACCTGAACCCCAGCGGGTGCACATGGGAGCCTGGTCCTCCTGCCACCTCTCAGGTCTCAGATGAGGAGCCCTGCAGGTGACTCACCACCCCGTGCCCAACTGCCTGCCACAAGAGTCCCTGAGCAACGACTGAGGGAGGACGAGCCTGGGGCACAGCTGCTTTTGCCTCCCAGACTAGGGCCCCACTCAGCACCAGGTGGCCTGTGCCAGAGGGCACCCTTAGGACACTGTGCTGGACACGTGTGGGAGAGGGCACTGGGACGCTGGGCCAAGGCCATGACCCTGGGAGCAGGAAAGGGAAGCAGGCGATGGAGGGGCCCGGTTCGCTCCCACACCAGGGCATTTACACGCTGACGACCTCTTCCTTCCTGTGTGGCCCTGGATGAGAGCACATGCCTGGAGGACACCCACAAACACCGACCCAATATAGGCTGTGAGGCTCCCATGGGCAGCAGGGCAGCACAGCCTCCGAGACCCACCTTGACAAGGTCGTCGATGTTGATCTTGCCGTCCTTATTTTCATCTAGTGCAGAGGCCAAGCTGACCAGCTTGTTTTCTGGAATGTGCTTGATTTGTTTCATGGCACTGATGAGCTCCGTGACACTGATGACGTTCTCCCTGGGGGCACAGCCTGCATGTGTACCTCTGCACCACATCTGTAGCTCCTGCCAGTCACTTGAAGCCTGGCAGCCACGTGAACTTGGCAACCTTCCACAGGGACCCTGTCGTGGGGTCCCCAGCCCTGTCAAGGATCCCCATGCCCTCTCCTCCAGGTGGTGTCCCTCGTGGACACCATCGGAACAGGGTACCAGCATGTGTGTGCATCCCTCAAGCACAGGGCCTAGGGCAGGAGTGGGCCTTGGTGCCAGCTGCCTGCCACACCCTTGTGGTGTTGCTCTGTCTGCCCAGCGGGCTCTCACTTGAAGGCAGCAACCCCTGCAGCAAAGTGGGACACACACAGACCACCCACGGAGGAGACAGACAGCCCTGTGTGGCCAGGCTGCAGAGCAGGAAGAGGCAAGAGCCAGGTGAAAGCCTGGTAGGTGGAGGAAACAGATGCCAAAGGGAGCAGCTGGAGGGCAAGGGAGAACGCAGGGGAAGGGCAGGTGGGGGAGATGGGAACCAGCCCTGGGCATGAAGGAAAGAAAAGTGTGGGCAGGACTTTGGCTGGACACAGTCCTGGGTGGGGCTGTCTGGCTGAGAAGCCTGGTCGCCCATTTGGGAGTCAGGATGGCCGGCGCTCGGAGCCCGGCTGGGCTGCCCACTCACCCCCCGGGCGCGCTCTCGTCTGGGCCCAGCCTGCCAGTCTGCTGGCCCGCCTCCAGCTGCGCGATGAGCCCATCGATCTGGCCGATCATCTGCTGCACCCGCTGTGTCAGCCTCTTGCTGGCTTTCGATTCCTCCACGAGCTTGTCCTCACCAGTCTTGGAAAGCTCCCTCTTGATCTCTCGCAAGTCCTAGTGAAATTATTTGCAGCTGTCAAGAAAGTCTGTCTTGGGCAAGGGAGGGTTCTACACTAAACTGAACCTGAGAAACTAATCCAACATGCTTGGGTGCAGGAGTGGCTCAGCAGCAGGCCCTGCCCAGTGTGCATGAGGCCCTGGTTCCATCTCCAGCATCACGAAGCAACAAGACAAAGCGAAGCACAGCAGTTAATCCCAACCACAGGAAGTTGCAAAATCTAACTTCTATCCCACAAACTTCCTCTTACTATTGTGAACGCAAATGATACTGCAGAGAAAACAGAACCTATTCCGAATCTCAACTTTCTTCCCATTTGCTAAAGAATAAACAAGTGAAGAACCTACGGATCCCAAGTGTCCTTCTTCCCAGATTCGAGCTCACTCAGCTGTAGAGCAAACATCGCGGGGAAGGATGGGCAGGCAGCAAGGGGGACAAGGTGCCACGTCACTGGGAACAAACCGGCTTCCGAGGAAAAGCCACTGGCACCTAGCAATGGTAACACGTCTCCCAATCTCAGAATGCATCGCCTTGTCCAACAGAGCCAAAAAGTAGTTCAAAAGATTGGAAAGCAGTATTTATAAAAAAGAAAAAAGGGGGCTGGGGGCAGGAAAAGGGGGAGCCGAGCGGCAGAGGCCTGCCTAGGCCTCCAGTAAAGAAAACTAAAGACAAAAAAACCCACGTGAAAAAAGGAAAAGGATGGCTCTCTTAGGGAGTCGTGAACAAAACAAGACCCCACTTGTCAAGGGACCAAACCGTCCACGGATGCCAAGGCTGCCTCTTGGTGTCCGCGAGGCCACTCACGGAGAAAGGGGCGATGGCCACACGCTGGGGAGGCTCCGGTCTGAGCTTGCCAACCTGATGCACTCTTCCCCCCACGCGCCCTGGCGCGCCACATTCACACGGGCACTGCCCAGCTCTGCGGGGTGACCGTGTCCCCTCGCTGCATGTCTCCGCCTCGGCAGCAAAGCCCACGCCCACCTCACTGTAGTCCTGGACGTCCTCCTTCAGCAGCTCCAGCTCCTCCTTCTCCTTGGTCAGCGACTTCTTCTGCTCCTTCAACTTGGAGCAGGCATCGCTCAGGACATCTATTTCCTCCTTAGTTATTTCCTCTTCCTGGGGGGACAGAAACAAGCAAACAAGTCTAAGCCAAAGGGAGCTGTCGGCTTCTCTGCTGGTGCTGTAGACAAGCGCCGGGGGCAGAGCCACCAGAGAGACGGCGCCCAAGCCCACCTGCACTCTTCCCAGCAGCCTGCACACCGAACAGCCGTGTCCAAGGTGTCACTGGGTGGGCTGTGACCTGCGTGTAGTGTATAGCAGGGAACCCACCCACAGCCAGGACGGTGAAAGCGCGTCACCTCTCCTGGGCCCCTGCTCCCAGGACCCCCCCACCCCAGGCAACAGGGCTCTGCCAGCTGCGCCTCAGGCATCCTGGACTCCAGAACCAGAGTTCTCTGTGTCAGTCTCCTGCAGTCAGTGTGAGTGTGGGCCTTGCATGGCCGAGGAGCCTGACCAGAGCCAGCCGTCTGCTTGCCTTGGGCAGATGTGTGCCTGGTTTCCCAGTCTCAGTGATCACAACTCAAGCTGCTGGGACGTCGGGGTCTGAGCGCAGGACAAGCACCCGGGGGCAGCTAGCCTCAGTGAGGCTTTTTGGAGAGCTGTCTCAGTGGCTCCCGACACAGCCTCACCAGTACCTGGCTAAGGTGCTCCCACTTTCTTCCCAATGGGGCTGTGGACGAGACCTGGGCCCAGAACCCGCACCAGCAAGTGAGCTGCGCCTGAGTGCGCGCCCAGCCCACGGTCTTCTCTTCTGCTGGGAGGGGCCAGAGCCCAGCGTCTGGTACACAAGTGCTCCACAGTCTGCCCAGCTCCAGCCCGGGAAGTCAGGTGTGGGTCACCCAACAGCCTGCAACAGCACGTCCCCCGCTCCGACCCCGCCTCGCCGGCAGCCAGTGTGCAGAGTGCTCTGCCCATTTTACAACCACACTCTCCCGTCTGGAAGCTGTGAGAGTGGGTATACAGCCCAGACACAGGTCTGCGCTTTACTGACACTTCCTCCTTGCTGGTAGCTTCATCTTTACAAGTGTTTCTGGAAGCAAAGTTTTCAACATTTGATACAGGAACCAATATACTATGTTTTTGGGTTGTTTTTTCTTTTTTTTCAGTACCAGCGTTTGAACGCAGGACCTTGCACTTTCTAGGGAGGCGAATTTTTGTTATTTTCTTAAGACAAGAGTTTCACTGTGTAGTCTAGGGTGGCCTCAAACTCGCAGCGACCCTCCCGCCTCCTGAATGCTAGGACCACAGGCATGCACCACCACACCTGGCTTTATTTTTCAGTTTTATGGCTCATGTTTTTGTGCTGTATTTAAGAAATCTATACCAAGCCCAAGGTCACTCAAATTTTGTACTGTTTTCCCCTAGGAGTTTTTATGATGCTCTTTGAGTTAATTTTCAACACTGAGTTATAAAGAGGTTAAGGTTCACCTCCTTGCTCACAGCTACCCAACTGTCCCGCACTTGGGGAGGCCGTGCCTTTCCCATCCGCAGCCGCCTGGCAGAGCCTCCGCCGGCCCCTCCGTGTGCTCATTTCTGTACCCTCTTCAACTTGCCTGGCCTCCTTCCTGCCTCGCAGCAATGCCCTCCCAGCCCTTGTCACACATCTTGCTAAGTGCAGTTCAATAAAAACTCACTTTTGTCACTTCCTAGTGGTCATCTTGGCTCTCACATCCTCTGCATTTCCATATAAATTTTAGAGTGTTCTACGGTGGCACATGGCTGTAATCCCAGCACTCAGGAGGCTGAGGCAGGTTGATCGCCGCAGTTCAAGGCCAGCCTGGACTACACAGTTGAGTTCAAGGCCAGCCAGAACTATATAGTGAGACCCTGTCTCAAAAAAAATTTAGAGAGCTGGGGATTTAGCTCAGTGGCACCAAGCCTGCCTCACAAGCACAAGGTCTGAGTTCAGTCCCCAGTACCAGAAAAAAAAAAAATTAAGAGTAAGTTTGTCAATTTCAATAATAACAACAAAACCTTCTGCGGTTTTGGTGGTTTGGAGGAAATCTATAGATCAGTTAAAGGTGTGGATGGTGCCTCACATCTGTAATACCAATGCTCTGGGAGGCTGAGGCAGGAGGATCTCAAATTGAGGCCCAGTCCGGTCAACTTATCAAAACATTGTCTCAAAATAAAAATGTTTTAAAGGCTAGAACTGTAGCTAGTCCAAGGACCTTCAGTTCAATTCTCAGGATCACCCCAAACCAAATAAGTACATACAGATCAGTTTGAGGAGAATTAACCTGGCAGCTACATTGAATCTTACATCTCACCATCCACATTTCTAGCTGACCTCACAGCACTGTCACTTTCAGTCCATAGCTCTGAAATCCTGTGGTGGTGACGGTGGGTGTGTCAACTTGGACCAGCTTTAGGGTCTGCCTGGGGCTGGTGCAGTACACTCCTTGGTGTATCTGGGTGGGTCATGGAGGCGTGGCCTTGGGGTCTGCTTCTGGCCCCTTCCTCTCTGCCGCTGTTCCTCTGCTGTTTCTCAGCTGCCACGAATGGCACACCTTGCTCCACTGTGATGGTCCTGCCTTGGAGGCCATGGACTGAATCCACCAAAACCATGAGCCAAATTAAAGCTCTCCTCCTTTAAGTTGCAGGTGTCAGGTGTGTCCAGCAACAGGAACGCTGACTGACACATTTCTCAAATTCATCCTGAGGACCCTAATGTAAATGATAGCTCTTCAGCAGCATGGAGAAGCACAACTGGTTCTACACAGTCAGACCCTTTGTGACCAAGGATTATGTCTTCCCTGACTCCAGCGGGAGTTCTGTGGGGCACACCCGTCTCAAGCAGACACAGCTGCAGATGCTGAGGCGCCTCTAGCACTCTGTGCCTGGGCTGTCACACGTGCTCTGGGCAGTGTGGGTGACCAGGGGCTGCTGTCCTCAGTCTATTAACAGGGCAGCTAGAGACTGTCTATTACAATGCTAAGCCAGCCTGTGCTCCCAGGACAAATCACATGTGGCCACAGTTCTTTTCATGGAAGAGTGCACCTGATCTGCTAGTTTGTCGAGAGTCCTCATGTATGTGCGCTCAGAGTTCTTGAACCCATCCAGGACTCAGCATCAGGTGATGCCTACACCATGACCCATGTGGGGGATGCCCGCTTCCTCTCCTGCCCGGAGCTCTCCTCCTCACATCTGATCCTCTGTGCTCTGGGGCTGGATACTCCCGTGACCCTGGGTGCCATCTGGGCCAGGGAAAGGGTTTTAGCTGCACATTTTGACCCCACGGCCAGGAGCTACTTAGGACACTGGCCTTGCGTGTAGTGCCGTCCATGTGGGAACTGCAGGACTGGGAGCTTGGCTTTTCAGCTCTTTAAAGGTTTGTGCACTAAGACATCTTGGTGACAATTCAGGCCTCAGTTCTAAACTTCCCTCCCCAGCTACGTCCTCAACTGGCAGGAAACTGATCCCACTTATCTCTGAGTCCACCTGGCTGCCCTCACTGCTGAGGGCCCCTGTTCCCCATGAGCTCCTGCCTGGTTCCTGTGGGGCTTTGCACCCTCCCCCCATGGCACAGGATCCTCACTTGCACCCTGAGGCCTCACCCCCACTCCCTGCCACCACTTCCTCTCAATCACAGGCCACAGGCCCTGGCCAGCCTGTCTTCGCCTGCTGGCCCCGACCCCCTCCCTGGTCTGAGTGTCACTGACCTTCAAGCCCTCCAGCACAGGGGCAGTGTCCTTCAGGGCCTCAGAGGGCAGGATCACATCAGGCATCTCCGGTCGCAGCTCGGCCACAGGCTTCTCAGGGGTGGTGGCACCCACACCTTCTAGCTCAGCGCCCTTCTGAAAGGTAGAAGCAGCGCAGTCACGCCAGCAGCCTTGCTGGGGGCCACAGGGCACAACAGTGGGGACCTGCAGACCCACACACACACTGGCTGTGCAGCCAGAGTGCAGCAGAGGGCTCGCCTGGCTCTGGTCTTCCCTCATGACCTTGCAGAGCAGAGACTGGGGCTCGGGCAGGCATGGGAAGGACCTGGGGGCCTCAGCCCCAGGTACCACAGGCTCCCAAGCCTCCCCTGGGGGAGTGCCAGTGACCCCTGCCTGAGTGACGAGCCGGGCCTCTGGACCTGGACACACGAAGATGGCCAACCCATGTCTTGCACTTGGGCTCGCCTGCTCCCCTGCACCCTGACTACTCCTCAAGCTGACATGAGGGACAGTGATGGCCATGGCACTGCTCACCGCCGCCTCCACCTCTGCGGCCCGCTGCAGCTCCTTCTCGTGGTGCTCCTGCCGGATGGCGGCCTCCTCCTGCAGTGTGGCCTCTAGCTTGGCCTTGTTGTCCACCTGCTCGCCTTCCACCTCGGCTGCTTTCACCTGGGCCTCCTTGGCCTATAGAGGAGGGGCGCCTGGTAATGAGCCTGCAGCCCTGCCCTGCATCACCATCTGCTTCACACAGGGGACAGAGCAGTCTTAGGATACTGTGAATGCAGACTGCAGAGCTGTTGTCTGGGGCGACACACACAGGGCAGGGCTGCCAGTGCCCCAGAGACTATGCCTCTGTGGGCGGTGAGGAGGATGGTCCCCGGCTCCCCAAGTGGGCAGTCAAGGAGTCTCCCTATGACACATACCACAATCTCCGGGAGGGTCTGGAGCGTAGACTTGAGCTGGTCAGCAGGTGAGAGAGTGTCGGGGAGATACATGGCCCGAGATAACACGAGCAGCGATGTGGGCACCTCCTGGTGCAGGTGCAGGTCCAACCACTGCAACCAAAGACAGGCTCCCAACATGCTGCCTGCCACCTGACCCCACTGGTCACCCTCCAGGGCCTGGGGCTTTCTGCCCGGAGCTTCTGATACGACCCTGGTTTGCTAAGGAAGGAGTCCGGTGGCAACAAGCCAAGAGAAACCTAGCGGATGGATTCATCAGGGCCCTTAACAACTTCAGAGAGGCGTTTCCACCTGCTGCTCTCTTGGGACCGATAACCACCGTGGTACACCAGATCTTTGGCCCCTGTGCCAGGCCGCCACAGCCTTGAGAGCCAGCAGCACACTTTCCCTTCACCAGTTCTCCACACTCACTACCACAGGCCAGGCGCCATGCCAGACTGCTTTGGCAACACCAAGACAACTTCAAATGCAAAAACACTGACCATGTTTGGACATGAGCTGAACACAGGGCAAAAGATGAGAAGAAGCACTCAGAACAGGGTGAAAACGTGGAGCCGAGGGGGTCACAGAGGGAGATGTGGATGGCTCAGCCCACACCCCCATACTGTAGCCCCACGGGTTGTGCAGCCTGGCCGGGCACATCATGGCCCTGCTCGGGGGCTCTACGGGCTGGGCTTGCAGAGGCTGGGCAGCTGAGACGGCAGAGTGGACGCAGGGCAGCCCTGGCAGAGGCTGCTGAAGACATAGCCAGAGGAGGATAAGGATGGGAAGGCTCCACGTGTGAAATGCAGCTGTATCAGAAAGAAGTGGGATTTGCACATCCAACTGGCAGGCTGAAGCCAGTGCCCAGGCTCCTGCTCAGGGGTCCCCATGCTAGGAAGCAGAGCAGAAGTGAGCTCCTGGTGCCCTGACCTTCCCAGCCCAGCCACAGACACTGCCCAGGCCCGAGTGGACCCACCTCACCTGCCCCTGAGTGACCAGACAAGCATCCAGGACAACCACAGCACGGCCACCACGATGAGAGCACCACACGGCACATGAGTGTGCTGCAGGTGAGCTAAGAGACAGCCCAGAACTGACCAGGTGTCCTGACAGCCCCAAGCTCCTCACCACCCTACCTGCCAGCCTGGAGCTTGGCAAAGCCTCCGTGAGTCTTTGCTGCTTCTTGTTTCCTTCTTTCTCTTGGGGGTGCTGGGATGGAACCCAAGGGCTCTGGTGCACTGGGCAAGCTCTCACCATGGAGCAACGCACCTGGCCCTGGTGGCATTTCCCACATGCACCAGCACTGGCCTGGCTACAGTGGGTGGGGCCACACACCTGCTTCAGCTGGCTTCGCAGCCGGTCCTCGGTGACGCCAAGGGCCCGCATGCCCCGTGCCCGGCATGCCGCTTGCAGCTCCTTGACATTCAGGCTGTCCACCCCTTCCTCAGCGATCAGCTAGAACAGAAGGAGCCAGTTACACTTGGCAAGGCCAGCAGAGGTGGGTGTGGTGATCTTACCACACTGGGAACCAAGTTTGAAATCAGAAGCCCTTTCCTAACGGGCTCTGCCAAGCAAGGACAGAGCATCAGCCAGTGAGTACATGCATGGGAGCACCGTGTAGGCCCCACAAGCACAGATGATTTTCATGCACCACTTATAAGTCAGGTGGCAAGAATAAAGACAGCAGAAGTAAAGAAGCAGGGAAGCTTCTGAGGCCTGCGTGGCCCAAGGCTCACCTTGTCATCGGCCTTTATGGACCGCAGCCGCATAGTGAGCTGGAAGCGCAGGAAGTTGTTGGTGCCAATGGACTGCAGCTCCAGCAGCTTGCACAGCGCCACCAGCTGCGGCCGCGTGAGGTTGTCCAGGGTCAGCTCATCCTCGAACAGCTTGGAGAAGCGCATGATTTCCTCGTTGCTGGGCCTCTCCCCCGTCTCACGGATCTGCGGAAACAGCCCAGGGCTGGCTCACCCTGTGGTCAGCAAGCAGGTTCTCCAGCCCTGCTCCTGACCTGGTGCCTCCTTCCTGTGCTCCTCCAGGCCCTGCACTCCCCGCCACCACAGAGGGGCAGGGCTATGTCCTGGCCACTGGTCTGGCTCAGCTGGTGGAGAGAGCTCAGCTGTTTCAGCCAGCAGCTCCCTCCTGGGGCTGAGCACAGGGTGTGGGCAGCTGGCTCGAGCCATCCCAGGAGCCCCGAGTACAACCCAAAAGATGCAGAGAAAGGCAGAGCCTGATGAGGCCTGGTCACGCGGGGGCCCCACCCAGCTCAGGGAGGCCAGCACCTTCTGGAAGAACACGGAGAAGTCCTGGGTGGCGCTGCCCTTGGCCGCCTTGTTCTTCAGTGCCATCTCCTCGATGGTGTCCTGGAGGAACTTGGCCAGCTCCAGCTTGACCCGCAGCTCCTTCTTCAGCCTCTCTTCCTGCAAGGCCGAGGGACTATGCTCACCCCCGACTGCTGCTCTGCCCATACGCCCCCACCTGGCCTTGAACAAGGCCACTCTCACCCAGGAGCAGCACTTCCTGCAACCCTCCCCTCCCCTCTCTCTCTCTTTCTAACAGTAATGGCAACTGAACCCAGAGCCTTTGCAGTAAGCTATGTCCTGACTTTTTTTTTCAGAACTGGGGATCAAACTCAGGACCTCGTGCTTGCAGTGCCACTGAGCTACATCCCTGGCCCAGATCTTTTTTTATTTTTTATTCTGAGACAGTGTCTCACTATGCACAGGATGGGCCCCACTTGCAATTCTCCTGCTTCAGCCTCCCAGAGTGCTGAGACTACAGGCCTGTGCCACCACACACAGTTCTTTCATGGCTTTTAATAACACAGGACTTACGTGCCAGGAGTGGCGGTGCACACCTGCAATCCCAGCCCTCAGGAGGCTGAGGCAGAAGGATCATTGTTGAGTGCGAGGCCAGCCTGGACTACACAGTGAGACGCGGTCTCAAAACAACAACAACATATAATGAAAAGTGTGACTAGAGCAGGGACTGGCAAACCGTCCCGTGGGATGGATGGGGAAGCTGCGGGCTACATGGAGCTGCCGCCAGACACAACTGCTCACCTCGCCTGGGGCCTCACAACCAAGCCCAACCACGCACACATGGCTGGGCGTGGAGGCCTGCGCCCCTGCTGGCGTAGATGCCACCCCTGAAATGCCAGGCGCAGATCAGGCGAGGGGTGTGAGATTCCGTGGGGATGCACTGGCGGCCGGGCTCCCTTACCTTGATGGACTGGGTCTCAAACGTGGACGGCAGCATGTTGGGAAAGAGCTTCACGGCCACAGGCAGCAGGAACTCCATGAAGGGGACCACCACGAAGACCAGGAAAGGCACCAGGCGGAAGAGGTCGGCACAGATGCGGAGGAACTGGAGAGAGCAGGCTCCGTCAGGGGACACTGCTATCACCGCCTAAGGCACAGCCACGGCGTGACCCTGACTCCAAGTGCCAAAACCACACACCTCCTAAAACTCATTTCTTTCTCAAGGTCAAGACCACATACGGTACCATCCAGGTGAGGTGGGGCACACCTGTGATCCCAGTACTCTGGGAGGCTGAGGCAGGAGGGTCCCAAGTTCAAGCCCAGCCTGGGGAGGGCAAGTAAGCAACTTAGTGAGACTGTCTCAAAATACAAAGGGGCTGGGTGTGCAGGTTCCACATCCAATCCCCAGCACCCACCACAACACCATCTGGCCTTCAGCAGAATAAGCTGGAGGCAGCACAGATCTCCTGCGGCTCCTCCGAGGAGCCTCGAGCTGACAGATCCAGAGACAGGAAGCCCGCCAGGGGCTCCACAGCAAGGTCCTGGCTGTCGCCTGATAGCACTGCTTGCTCGCTCGCTCACTCGCTCGCTTGCTCGGCAGGGCCACCTTCCTCCAGCAGAGCCCAGCACCTGCCAAGTGCGGCCCCCTCACCCCGGCTCAGCTGTCTGCCCCTGTTCAGTGCAACCCACAGACTTACGCGACAAGGGCACATATGCATCTCCTACTCAGACAACATCTATACAACTTTTCTAAATTCTCACACGGTTTTCCATTGCTTTTGTTGAAGAGATACTTTCTGGGCCGGCGATTTAGCTCAGTGGTTTTGACGCCTGCTGCGCAAGCGCAAGGAACCGAGTTTGATCCCCAGTACCAAAAAATAAAAAATAAAAAAAAGAGAGACACTTTTTAGTGACCTTTAGTGAATTTTAAGAGCAACACACTGAGACTGTCTCAAAAATTTTTTTAAAAAGGATGAGGATACAGCTCAGTGAGAAGGCCTTGCTTTTGACTCCCAGTACCAGGAAAAAGTCAATTTCTACAACTACCAGGACAAATCGACAGTTTGTTCAATCCAAATTACCTCTGAGACCTCAAAGCAAGGAAATACCAGCCAAGGTGCACAGGCTCCCCAGTGCTGACTGGGGCCTCAGCCTGCGCCTGGCCAGCTCTGCCTGGCCTTGCGTGGCCGCTCTGACTCTGCTTTTTCCTTTAGGTCTCACTTTCTGCAATGGAAAAGCAAAGATGGCTCAGAGCAGCCCAGGAAGGCGAGGAGCCCAGAGGAGCCCAGAGGAGCCCTTGGCTCCCATGCAGCCCCTCCTGGCAGTGGGGAGCTCTACCCCAGCCTTTCTCTATCTACACAGCACCTTTTAGATTGCTATAAACCTAAAATTACCCCACAGCGAAAAGCTTACTTAATTCTGGTCATGGTGGCATGGTACTTGGGAGGCTAAGGCAAGAGGATCACAAGTTCATGGCCAGTGTGGGCAACCTGGTAAGACTTTTTGTTTTGTTTTGTTTTGTTTTTTGAGACAGGGTTTTGCTACGCAGTTTATGCTGGCCTCTAACTCGAGGAGATCTTCCCACCAGAGCCTCCTGAGCGCTGGGATCACAGATGTGCATCACCACACCCAGCTAGACTCTGTCTTAAAATATAAAATAAAAAGGGCTGGGAATGTAGCTTACAGTAGAGTACTCCTGGCTTTAATCCTCAGTACTACAATAAAATAGTAGTTATGATAAAGAAATAAATAATAGTGAGTGCACGCTCACACAAAAGTAACAGAAGCCCTCAGGAGCCAGGAACAATGAGGTGTTCCTGGGAGGTAGTGAAGGAGGGACAGACCCCAGGACTGCACTCTGGGCTCACCAGATCCTGCAGCATCCATGGGGGGCAACACAGCAGAAACAGGCTCAGCACCCAGCAGGGGCCTGGAGGTGAAACTCCCTGGAGATAAACTCAGCACGTGCCACTCACCTGGAGAGGTTCATAGCAGGGCAGAAGCCACCCCCGCAGGGGCCAGGAAAGGGTAAGCTATGCTCAGCGGGGAGGTAAGTGTGTTCAGAGTTGTTGAAGACGAAAGAGAAGGAATTAAAGACTCAAAAGAAAGGCAAGAGGACTGGGATGTGGCTCAATGGCGCAGAGCACAAGGTCCTGAGTTTGATCCCGGTATCAGAAAAAAAAAAGAAAGAAAGACAAAACCCTACCAGGAAGGCTAAATAAACCAGCTTAAAAAAATCCAACAGACCTTCTGAAGGGAAAAAGACACTATGCAAGAAAACCCTGGGATGACCGTGTAGCTCAGTGGTGGACAGTGCAGCCCGGGTTTGATCCTCAGAACTGCTAGAGGTAGATGGATAGATGGACAGACAGGCAGATAGAAAAAGCAAACCTCAGCGGACACATCAAACAGACCACTTCAGCTAGAAAACAATGAATAAAACAGAAAGAAGGTATCTTCTTAGCTGCAGCCCTGAGACAGAAGAATTACCTTTTTTGCTCTGTTTTGTTTATGAGCTGGGTCTCACTGTGTTGCCCAGGCCATGAACTGTTCTCCTCAAGCAATCTTCCTGCCTCAGCCTCCTGAGTGTCTGGGACCACAGGCACCAACTTACAAGGACCACAAAACCACATGATTTAAGAAGACCCTTTTCAGACGAGATCGGGCACATTCAGGACAGTATGGCTGTAGACAAGAGGACCTTTTTCAGAGCCAGAAGACAGCGAGAGTGGGTGTAGCAGATGGCACCCAGGTGCTCCCATGGCCCCAGCTCAAGGATCCCACGAAGTGACAAAGACAGGCTTGCCCAGAGGGACACATGAGCCCTGAACACAGACCTGGAGGCAGCAAGGCCGGAAAGGCAGACAGGCCTGGGAGCCAGCTCCTTGGGAGGTGGAGGCCAGCCGGCACCTTCGTGAGATGGACGCTGTCTCGAAACACGGTGGAAAGGCTACGGATGCTGCTCCAGGGACAGCACTTGCCTGGCCCACATAGGCCTGGGCTCCATCCCCAGTAACAGAAGAAACAAAGGCAGGCTGGGGGCCAGCAGCCACACAGGGTGGGGCTCTCAAGGAGCGTGGAAGCCAGAGGCAGGAGCAGCACCGCTGTGCCAGGGGCGGAAGGGAGCCCAGCATCAGCAGGCAGCTCAGCTCCATTCTCACAGGCTGCTAGGTTAGGTCAAGAGAGAGTCCCCGAAAGGTCCCCGTGGTCAGAGGGGGCTCTGGAAGGGGACTGGACACGCTATTCTTCTGGGAGCTGAAGGTGGGGAAGAGGGGGCGCTGGGGTATGGCCTGGAAGGGTGTGTCCCTAGCCCCACTTCGCCCTGCTTCTCCACACTTCTGCCATAGGCCCAGTGAATTGGGACTGAGCCAAGCAAACCTCTCCTCCTTCAAGCGGTGGGCACTGAGTATTTCATCCACGTAACAAGAAAGTGACTAACACATAGGCTTTGCTAACTTTATGAGCAGAAGCAAAGAGTGAGCCCTAGCAGCGCTTTCCAGAGACCCCATTACCTGTCTACGCTCCCGGCGGGTCAGTGCGTGGCCGTGCAGGATGCGCCAGAGCATGCGTGCGGCGATCTTGGTGTCGATCCACAGCAGGCGGAAGCCGTGGTAGTAGTGCTTGAGCTCGTCCAGCACCCTCTGCCCCAGGGACTTCTTCACTGCCACCGGGGCCGCTGGGCTGTACACGGGGCCGCCCTCCTCCAGCTTTTTGTTCTTGTCCTTCAGGGACTTGAGGGACTTCTCCACCACAGAGTCATCGCTGAGACAGGGTGACGAATGCCAGCCACGCACAGGAAGGTACCTGGGCCCCCCGACAACCACACCCACTGCAGTGGGAGTCCATGGTGCTCCTGCCACCATACACAGGCGCTCAGGCCTCAGTGTCCAGTGGCCACAGGGCTCCACTCTGAGGTACAGGTACAAAGGGTGGGCCGGGGCACAGCAGCCAGAGGGGACAGTCCTTGAGAAAGGAAAAGAGAAAATAGCCAAGGGGAGCCAGCACACCAACGGGGACATCAAGCCACACACCACAGTGCATCACAACCACACATACAACCCCAGCTGATGCCTGAGACCCAGAAACCCAAATGACATGGGGCTGAGGTGGGCTGCCCCACATCACCCCTAGCCAGCCTCAAAGTCCCCAGAGATACCTCAACAGATGGACACGCACATGCGCCAAAGCCTGAGCCAGGAATGTGACCAACCTCTGGGTAACCCCGGCATGGGGAGGGCAGTGCACTGCTTGGGGACTTGGGAAAATGGGGTGCAGAATATGTCACCTTTCCAGTCCTGAGGTCCTCTCCCTCACAGGTGACTCTCAGAATCAAAGGTCCCGGGGCCAGGGGCAAAACAACAGAGCCTAGGCCGCTCCACAGGCCCACCTGCCCAGCTTGGGCCCCATGCCCCATGCTGTCCCCACTGTGTACCCACAGACTGTCACCTGATGCAAATGCCATGAGGGCCACTGAAGTCCCAGCCCCTCTGCCCATACTGCGGCCTCCCTATAGGAGTTAGAGGAGCAGCCATAGCAGCCTGGCCGGAGGCCAGAGTTTGGAGCCCCTGAGACACATGAGGAGCAGGATGCCTGTCATCACCAAGACTAAAGGGATGCACACACGGCTGTCCAGGGCCATGACCTCCTGCTTCCCTCACCTGCCACCCAGAGACTCCAGCAAGCCACACCCCAGCCTCCACCACCCTGCAGGCTGAATGTCGCACAGCCACCACTCTGCATCCACTGGACACATGAGGGCCCGAGCTCTGCCATGCGCCTCCATGTGGCTCCTTTCCACTCTGCGGCTTCCATGTGGGCCTGACCAGCTAATCGGATCTGTGCCTGGCCCTCTGTGTCAACCTATGTCCAACCCAGGATGCTGCATGTAACCGCCACACAGGCACCTGTCAGGAGGGCCAGGTGGGGCCACAGGTGGATCCATGGGACAGAGGACACCAACTCACCCAGGCCAGGGCATGCAGGTGGGTCCAGTAGGAGCAAGGGCACAGAGGCCAGGCTCCAGGCCTCGCACCAGCTCTACTGCCACTCGAGGGTCCAGCTTTAGGGGACAAGTAACCAGACACCAGAATAGGGTGGGGAGAGCAGAGCCACAAATGTGTGTATCTTCCTCAGTGTGCATCCTTCTGTGTGTGTCCTCAGTGTGTACTTGTGTGCAGCCCTGTGTTAGTGTGACCGCTCCTTCAACTTGTCCCGCCCATGCCCCTGCGTGTGGCCGTCCCTGCAGAGCCAATGCCCCACCCACCCAACCTCTGTCCACTGTCAAACCCTGGGCCTGGGAGGGGCCTTGAACCCACCCTTCCCTAAGTCCCAGTGTCCCTGAAGGTCAGGCCACCTACAACATAGCACAGCCCACTCGAGCTCAGAGCCACTGGGCCCCAGGCCACGTTCTTGCCTTCTGTGTGTGCCTCAGACTCGCGGGCAAGTGTGGGTGACAGAAGTGCCACACATGGAGCAAGTGTCACTCCTGCCTCCATCAAGCTGACTTATCTAATTCTGTACTCCCCATATGCCAGGGAAGAGCCCGGCTTCCACAAGAGGGAATGACAGTCTGCTGTTGCAGAGGCAAAACAAAAACACGAAACAAAGTCAACAGGCAAAACAAAGACCTGAAAACAGACCAAGTGGACAGGCATGGCGTCACTCGAACTCAAGCCCAGCACAAGCAACTCAGGAAGACCCTGTCTCAGAATAATAAAAGGGCTGGGATGTGGCTCAGTGCAAAGGCCCCAAGTTCATTCCCCAGTAACACACACACGCACACACACACCACAAAAACCCAAAACAAAACAAAAACCAGACCAAGCAGAGAAGCACACCCTGTGCAGTGAGGGCTGGGCAGCCCTGCAGCTCCTTCAAGTTCATCAGAGAGCTTACTGTCACCAATGATCTGGCTGCAAAGGGTTAATTATTTCCAAAAAGCAGAAAAACATGCAATTCTTTAGAAGTGCCCACCACCACAAAATCAGGCTGGTTGCTGCCGGCTGGCTCACTTTCCACAGCAGGGACTGAACCTGGACCTGGGAAAGCCGGGCTATCTTCTCTCTGCTGTCACCTGACCTCCTCCTGGTTTCCTTTTTGTTTGTTTGTTACTGGGTTTGAAACTAGCACCTTCCTGTCGGGAGCAATGCTACCTAATTTTAGGGTAAAATCATTTGGTCGGCCTAGTTCTCCTGCCTACAGCCCAGCCATGGAATTCCGAGACATAATTCCATCTTGGCCTCCGGTCACAACTGAGACCTCAGTGATCCGGTGATGCTGTGATGCTCCAGGACAAGAAACACCCTGGGAGCTGAGAACATCCAGGGAGGAACAAACATCTCCTCAGTTCCTCCTTGTTCTTGGACTGTTACATCTTGTGTACGCGGATGTACGGAACTCTCTGCAAGTCATGTTATATGTTTCTCCTGATGGTGTGGTAAGCTGGGGGCTTTCGTCTCTGCCGGCTGGAGCAGCCCTGATCAGACCCAAAGCTCAGCTTCTTCTCTGTCTCGTTTTTCTACCTTTCCTGTAATTCGCCGTGTGCTGCCGTGGCTCGCAGGAGACCAGGACTCACTGCAGAGGTTCCGGTAACGTCCCCTTTCCCTGTTCCCTCCACCTTCCCACTGAGCTGCATCCCCAGGCCTTTTTATTTTTTGAGACAGGGTCTTGTTCCGTTGCTTATGCTGGGCTTGTACTTACATGCTCCTGCCTCAGCCTCCCAGAGTGCTGGGATTACAGGTGTGTGCCACCACACCTGGCTTCCTTCCTTTTTTTTTTTTTTTCTGCTACATCACCTGAAAGTGGGGAAAAACCCCACTTAGCAAAAACAACAAAGCAACAAAAACTACAGTCCCGCCAGGCAGGCAAGCTGGCTACATGAAGAAGCTTGGGCATAACTGTGAAGCTGTTTACTTGAGAATGCTGACACCTGTGGCCACCTGGACATCTGCTGTCACCTCAGGACAAGGAAAAGTAAGCAGTGCTTGCAAAAAGGAGCCTCACCACATCAGCTGAAAGGCCCCAGGGAGCGGGCATAGGGACACAGGGTGGGGACCTGCCCTCCTGGCACCTCGAGCTCCTGATGCTTGTCAACACACATGCAAATGCCACGGCTACGAACACCTGCATGAGGCTCCCCAGGCAGCCCTGAAACTCCTGCCAGACAGGCTCAAGCAGCCCAGTGACCCCAGGTCGAGCCAAGGACACCAACCAGACACCACCCTGTTCTTGCAGGATGTGATGCCCACGAGGCAGGTGGCGGAACCACTGAGCTAAATTTTAAATCCCCGCCCCTTTTATCTTCTAACTTGAACCTAAAATGCTAAAAAAGGTACTCAACAAATCCAACATCCACTTCTAATAAAAACACTTTAAAGCCGGGGATTTAGCTCAGTGGTTCCACCACCTGCCTCTCAAGCAGAAGGTCCCAAGTTTGATCCCCAATACCAAAAAAACCCAAAAAACAAAAAACACTTTAAAGTTGGGTGTGGTGGCGCATCCTTGTGATCCCAGCATTCGGGAGGCTGAGGCAGGAAGGATTGCTGCGAGTTCGAGACCAGCCTGGGCTCCGCAGTGAGATCAAGGGTGGCCTGGACTATAGAGTGAGACCCTGTCTTAAAAAAAAAAAAAAGAAAAGTAAAAAATAAATCAATACAAGGGATGAATAGGGAACTGGGATACTGTTCAGTGGTACAGCACCCCTGGGTTCAATCCTAGCACCACAAAAAATTTGTTAAAATGTCAGGCAGGGGCTGGGCATGGTGGATTGGGTACTTGGCATGAGTGAGGCCCGGGGTTCCATCCCCAGCACACACACAAAAATATATATATACATATACATGCGCGCACACACACCTGGAAAGACCAGGTGAAATTTCACAAGTCACTATTCCTAAGTGGTTTGGTAGGTTTAGCAGCAATATAGTCACAATCCCAGAGTGTACAGTTGGCAAGTTCATCTGGAAGAACACTTAAGAATTCAGAGGAAGGTCCAAAAATGTGGTTCGAACCTGGTCTCTGAAGAGGGGCTGGGACAGAGCTAGGGAAATGGTGGATAGCAGGAGCCAGTACCAGACAGACCCATCCCCTAGAGGAGGACAGATGCCTGGGCAGGCTGACCAGGGTGCCCTGCCCACCACAGGTGGTTCACAGGTGAAACTGCCCACAGGCCAATTCCCAACCCACACCAGGCATCAGACTTTCACTGACACTTCACTCCCAGGCCTCCAGTGGGGCCACACCCCACACAGCACCCAGGAGCTCAACCTGCCACAGACCCACATTCCCTTCAGAGTAAAATCCAGACAGCAGGAGTACGATGCTCAGTGCACACAAATCAGCACCCCCACCAGCACAGAGCCTTCCTGACACAGCCTGGGCTGAGGTCCCACCTGGGGCTTGGAGTAGGAGCCAGGGGCAAGACTGACTGTCCAGCTGTCACTACCTAACCAAGCGCCACATGGGCAGCAGTGACCCTGCCATAGAGACACTGCCCCTGCTCACAAAGCCACGTACACCTGGCTCCTCAACCAGCACCCAATGAAGCCACAACACCAAAAGCTCACCTTAATATAAGCTTTCACATGTGAGTACAGTTTTTATTTTAGGGAGTTAAATGTCTCAGAAAGCCCTGTTGGACACATTTTACAGCTGAGATGAGATAGTTTAACAGCCTTTAATGAACATAAAAAGTCCGCCGGGGATTTAGCTCAATGGTTCTGCCAAGGGAGTGGAGCTGCAGCCAGGAGGGAAGGGGAGTCCCCTGGGACACAGGTGAGACCAGGCTGCCACCAGCAGGGACAGTGCAGGAGTGCAGAGACCTGACAGGGAGTGTGCTGCTCTCCAGGAAGCCCTTTTGCACTGGCCCACCGAGTGGCAGTAGCACCACTGCCTCACTTTGGACAGTTACCACCTGTCAGTCACCTCTTGTCATCCTGGTAGGTGTCAAAGGGAAGATGTGGCCAGAGCCAGGAGAGGGGCCTGTGTGGTCCTCCCTATGTGGGCATGCTCCTAAAGGACTAAATGCATGCGAGGCAGGGTCCACTCTGCCCACTCACAGATCCCCACAGCCCAACGTTGCCTGACACAGCCAAACAGCCTTGGCACAATCATGCCAAAGGTGGCTGGGGGAAACATGGGAAAGATGGGTCCCCTAGGCCCACAGCACTGCATGGGCTATGGTTACAACTGTGCTGGAAACAGACACAGAATAAAAAGTCAGGAAAACACACCAAACCCCTAGGCATATGTGTAACTGGTACTAGGTTTAGGAGTATTTGTTTTCTTAAAATTTACTGATACAGGGCCTGGGATTTAGCTCAGTGGTTTTGCCACCTGCTGTGCAAGCACCAAGGACCCAAGTTCGATCCCCAGTATCAAAAAAAAAAAAAATTTACTAATACAGTTATTACTTTTCTTTTTTTTTGGTACCGGGGACTGAACTTGGGTCCTTCTGCTTGCGAGGCAGGTGGCGGAACCACTGAGCTAAATCCCCGGTCCTACAGTGATTATTTTTCAAAATAAGCAGGTTTAAAAGAAACAAAGAACAAGCAAGCCCGACCAGCTGGTCCCCAAGTAGCAAGCATCCCCACAAGCTGAGCGTCCTCCAGCGGACAGGTGCAAAGGGACGGGTTTACTTACACTCGGCTTATCAACCCCACAGTGCCGGTACACCTGAGACACGCTCCATACCCCAGACTACCTGTGACAAAAACAAAGACATGGTGAGTAAGGGGCTCCGCCAGGCAGCTCTCCCATCGAGCTCATGCGGGACTTTCTCCCAAAAGCTCTCAAGTGTTTCTGAAGCCACTCGGCATCAGAAGGCTCAGGGCACTAGCCGCAAGGGCCTCCCAGTCAGGGAGCAGGGTCTGGACAGCCCCGGGGGCCAGGCAGGCCAAGGCCAGGGATGGCCCACTGGGTTCCCCAGCCGAGTCCACCCCGCTGCTGGGCAAAGACCAGGACACACAGAAGCCCTGATACAGACAGCCCTGACGGACAAGCAAGGATATCAAACGGCCGGTGAGGGCGGGAGCCACGGGCCAGCATGGCACAGCGGGGCCAGGGTGCCACACCAGGAGGGGCCAGGCGGCCATGCAGAGGCCAGGCAGGCCAGGAGCCAGCAGGACAGCAGCAAGGACAGCAGAGTATTGCTCTATGTCGCTGACAGGAAACAACTCTCCCACTTCTGTCCCCCACTTAGGGATTTGCAGCATTAGGGACAGTATGACTAGTAAGTCAGGGGCTGGGATCAAGAGGGCTGGTCACCACCATCCACAATTCATAACATAAAGATATTAGCCACAGCAGGGCATGGTGGCACACCCCTGTAATCCCAGCACTCTGGGAGGCTGAAGCAGGAGGATGGCAAGTTTAAACCTGGCCTGGGCAGCTCACTGAGACAGAAAATTTTTAAAACACCTGGGGATGTGTCTCAGGTCTAAGGCCCAGGATTCAATCCCTGTATCAAAGGGGAAGGGGGCGGTGTTAGCTACACTCTATCAGCATCAAGTGTAACAAGTTAAAACAGCCCAGAGAGCACACTGAGCTTTTCCTGGCCCCTCCTCCAGGCAGAGGCCAGGGCTTCCTCCTGCCCCGCACCTCTACCTGGCCCCCCAGTAAGCAGACAGCCTGGGAGGATGCTGAGGCCACCTAGCAGTGTCCACTGCTGCACTTTTACATGGAGGCTCCCGTGACCCCTCAGTTCTGAGAATCTGCTAGAAAAACTCATGGAATCGACTCCACATCATAGCTTATCACAACACAGATGAGCGACCAGGAGAGGCAAGAGGTGAAGATGCGGGGGCAGGCAGGGTCCCCGAGACAGGGCTAACTCACCTGGAGCCCTCTGCACACCCCTCCCAGAGGCTGGGTAAAGTTCCAACCCTAACCTTCGAAGGCCCAGCCCCGCCTCAGGTCTATCTAGGGCTCCAGAGCCCTGGGCATGAAAACAAGGTCTACCATGAATAACAGAGCTGATCTGGTCAGTCACTCTGAGGCCTTGGGGCTCAGTGCCAGAAACAGGAACAAAACCCAGGTACATCCCTCATTATAACACACCTGTCCTATTGTGTTTTTCCCTTAAATTCTTTACTGGTACATTTTAGGTATACAATACGTTTACATTTATCACTGGGTGCTTGTACCTGTACATGCTGTATCTTGGTTCTTCTGTTTTCCCCATTATCTGTGTGCCTTTCCCCCCCTCCACCGTTCCCTATTTACATAGACTTTGTTTCCATTCTTTTTTTCTTGTAATTTTTCCTTTTCCTTCTTCCCTTTCCCCTTCCCCTCCCACCACCCATACACTTTTGGACCTTTTCCTATTTCAAATTATTATTCATTTTCATCCTTATTTACACTTTCAGTTTCTCACACTAGAGATACTATTTGGCATTTACACGTGTGTCCTATTTATTTCACTTAAGAGGATGGCCTCAATGTGCATCCATTTAGCTATAAATGTGTCTAGTTTCTCGTTTTTTTAAATTTTAGTTTCTCATTCTTTATGGCTGAGTAGTACTCCATTTTACAGAAAAACCCCATCTTTATCCAGTTTCCAGTTGATGGGCACTTGGGCTGTTTCCAAGCCTTAGCTATTACAAACTGTGCCACTCTAAACATGAGGACACACACATCACTGTGGTATGATTCTTTTAATTCTTTGGGGAAGATCCCCAGCAGGGGGATATCTGGGTCAAATGGGACCTCTAGTCCTACTTCTTTGAAGTATCTCCATACTGATTTCCACAGTGGTTGCACCAGTCTGCACTCCCACCAGCAGTGGAGCAGGGTTCCTTTGTCCCCACAGCCCCGCCAGCATTTGTTACTGGCTGATGTCTTGATAGCAGCCATTCTTTCTGGGGTGAGGTGCACCTGTGTTGTTTTTGAGACAGGGTCTTGCCATATAGTTTGGGCTGGCCTTGAACTCACCGTGTGGCCCAGACCCCAGACCAGGGCCTCCAGAAGACTATGCTTCCCCCAGCAGAGCCTTCACACAGTCCCACCTCCTCCCACAGCCCTTGGAGGACCGAGGCACACAACCCAAAGGCCTGTCTGCAGCTCCTAAGACTCGGCCTCAGCCCTGGCCCACACCTGGCCCTGCGTGGCCCTCTGGGCCCTTCGGTCGGGCTGCACACGTCTCTCCCATAGAACCCTCAGCGGCACTGACTGTCGCACTCCTACCACAGCAACTTCCTCCCAGAGAGGTGTGGAAAGGGGAGGAAAGTAACTCAGCATCAACGCTGACAAATCTGACAGCAGATCCTTGATAAGTTGTAATGAGAACAATATTCAACTGTGGCCCAACGCTCCCAAAACCCATGGTTCCCAGTCAAAATACAAGACAATCATCAATAAACACCAATAAAACCACTCCACAGGGGCCGGGGATTTAGCTCAGCGGTTCTGCCACCTGCCTTGCAACCGAAAGGTCCTGAGTTCAATCGCTGGTACTAAAAAAAAAAAAAAAAAAAGCACTCTACAATATTATCTGCCCAGTACTCCTTGAAACCATTAGGGTCATGGAAAACTAGGAAAATCTGAGGGTCTGCCGTGAGGATTACATGTAATGTGATGTCCTGAATGAGTCCAGGGACAGAGAGAGGACACTGGAAAAAAGCATGTGTGGAATGAAGTAGGGAATAGGTGGAGGGACCTGAATATAGCTCACTGAGACAAGGAACTGCAGTAAGGTGGGGTGCTCCTGAGGGCCTGTGGAGGCTTCAGAGACCCACTGCTGGGCCACCCTCAGCTCTGGATTCCCTTTTGGTCCCACAGCAAAGCAATGGTCTACTATCCACCCTGTAGTGTCTAATAAAAACTACAGATAACAGTCCTGCTCCTGGAAGACCAAGACCCTTAAAGAAAAAAAGCAGCTAATTTTTTTCTTGAGACAGGGTCTCACTAGGCAGTTTAGGCTGACCTTCAACTCACTATGTAGCTCAGGCTGGCCTCAAACTGGTGGCAATCCTCCTGGCTCAGCCTCCAGAGTGCTGGGATTACAGGCATGCACCACCACGCCTGGCTGAACCAGAGAACTTTTAAGCCATAAACATGCCACAGAAGGGCTGGGGATTTAGCTCAGTGGTTTCGTAACCTGCTGCGCAAGCTCAAGGACCCGAGTTCAATCACCAGTACCAAAAAAAAAAAAAGCATGCCACAAAAATGTGAAATGGCAAAGTATTTTATGGCCATCAACAGGTACAGAGAGCTCTCTCAGCAGTGCAGGCCTAGAGGCTGCTCTGACCCCACTGGGCACTACCCTGGCTCCCACTCCTTCCCAGCCAAGATCTGATCTTGTCCTGGGGTTTCTGTAAACCCGAAGGCTACTGGAAATGGTTTCTGTTTCTTGGGCCTCTCACTCTCAAAGAGCAAGCTTTACCCTTCCCTCAACCTTACAGACAGGACCCAAATCAGAAGGTTCACTGAAGATGCAGCCCCCTGGGCTGAGCTGGGAGTCGGAAAACAGGAAACACCGTCCCAATCCCAGGGACAGGGACCCAGGGTCTATCCTGGCCTAATCCTGTCTCCCCTGAGTGTGACCAAATGGGCACTCCTGCACTCTCGGGTGCTAAGTCAGAGAGGGCAGTGCCAAGGCTACCCCGCCCTGTGGAACTTTCCCAAACTGTCAGAGACAGTGACCTGGGGCGACCCGGGCGACTAAGGTCACGCCACTGCCTAGCCCGGACAAGGCCTGACATCGCCATGCCCGTAGCCCCAAGTAACAGGAGCAGCGGGGAAGGCTGGGACAAGGAGGCGGGGAGACTGGCATCGAGAGATGGCCAGGGCATGCCAGGTCGGGACAGGCCCTCTGGGAGGGCGCTGACACGCGGAGTCGGGACGCCTGGGGAGAAAGCCGGGCAGGGAGGAGGACCAGGACATCGGGGCGGAAGCTGGGCACGCGGGGAGCACCAGAACAGCGGGGAGGAACCCGGGCATAGAGGAGGACCGGGACACGTGGGAGGGACCGTCGCGGCAATGGCCCTCGCCCGCAGCTCCGCTGGCTACTGGATGTCCCCGGCCCGTGCTCCCTGCCCGCTCACGGAACCCGAGCGCCCTCGAGCGGCGCGAGGTTGGCAGCGAGTGGAGCCTCGGCGGCCACCCACCGGGTACGGCGGCGCTTACCCCGCGGGGCGGCGGAGCCGGGCGGCGGGAGGCGGACGGGCGCCCGACCGCGACAGCTCCTCAGCAAGATGGACGCCATGCGCCGGCCGCGACGGCTTCCGGCTGCGGCCACTTTCTTGCCCTGCTCCGCGGCTCCTCGCCGTCCAGGCAGCGCCTAGGCCCAGCCGCGCGGGAAGTGACGGCGGGGTCAGTTTCTGGCAGCAGGCTCTCAGCTCAAGGACCCGGCACCGGTAGCGGCCATGTCCCGGCACCGACGTCCGGAGGCACGGGGCGGGGCGGACCGGCTGCCGTTCCCATTGGTCCCATGGGCGCCGGGCGCCGGCCAGATGAGGGGCCGGGCCCGCCGCCGACTACCGGTGCCGACTGGCATCCGGCCTCCTGCCCTTCCGGCCCTGCCGACTACTGGTTCCGGCGTGCACCGGGAGGCCTGCCCACCTGGCCTGTAGACTACAGATCCCGGGGTGCACCTGGCGGACCTCCCTGCCGACTACAGGTCCCGGCGTGCACCGGCCGGAGTCCCCCTCCTCCCTCCCCGCTCCGGGCGTGCTGCATTCTGGTTTCCGTAGTACTGCGAGTTTCACAAACGGTGCTGGCTGCGCGTGCGCAGTGTGTATCCTCCCCTGTCCGCTCCGCGGAGGCCGCAAGGCCGGAATTTGGCGGGATCCAGCCTTGTACCACGCGTACCACCGGTCTCAGGGACCTTAGGGAGGCACCCACTGGAAGTACGTCCTCCAAGAGCAGGGCAGGGGACGCTTGGGGCGGAGCCCGCGCTTGTAAGTCGGGCGCCCTGTGGCCCTGCACCGGATTCGCTCCCAGGCTGGCGCTCGCTCCTGAGCTGCGGCCCACACAACTCATTGCTGTGCGCCAACGGGACGACGGAGTCCTGGCCGCGAACAGAAAGCCACCCCCTTGCCTGGCACCGCGTCCCCAAAAGCCACTTTGTCCCCCTGCTGGCGCCCAGCCCTGCCCATTCCCGGAGGGAGCGAGCAGGCAGCCCCGTGACCTGCGCACCCTGCCGTCCCTACTCTCCATAAGCTGGGACTCCGTGAGGGGAGGCGGCCTGGGGAAATGGGCCTCCACACTTCCCCACCAGGCTCCTTCCCTCAAGTAGCACCCCAGCTTTTCTCGGGACTTCCTACCCCGCTCCCCACCGCGGAGCCCCTTTCCATCCTCCGTCCTGTTTACTGTAAACTCAGGGTTCGGTTGCTGAGGGCCCTTCGCGCACAGTCGTTGCATCTCTGCTCCGTGGGTGCCCAAGTGTGGAACTCCAGTCCCAGCCTGCTACCCAGTCTCTCTAGGAGCTCGCTCCCCTTCCCCCAGCTCTCCCACTGCAGCCCACCAGAGAGAAGCAGCTAGTTTCATCCTTTCTCTGAGCCCGATGGTAGACTCTGGGTCAGCTTGGGCCAGGAGTCCCACCTCACGTGGAAGAGGCACTGCACACTGCAGGGCACTTTGAGAATCGTGTGGAAGCTCCTTTGTCCACTGGGCGTCGGCGCCGTAGACTGGGGGTGGAGGGTGCAGGGAGTTTCTCAGCAAGTTGAGCACCTTGCCCTGCCCCAGTCTTCTCCTTAACGTCAAATGCAGAGTTCAGCCAAGCACAAAGATGCCCCAAACCTAGGCGTCTGCTGCCAACACATCGTAAAGGGGGCCTCTTTCCCATTCATCCTCCAGGAGGCAAAGGGAGGATAAAGAACAAAACAGTCCTTGTCCCCCACCCAGAGGCTGGCCTGAGGCGGAACAAACAGGTACTCAGGGATGGACAGGATTGGATTTTTATGCTGCAAAGTGCAGGACATTTTCCTAGCCTTAGTAGAGTCCTTGACTTTTAGCTTCAGATGGCCCTGCCCAGGCGCCATTGAGGGCCAAGAAGGAGACCTCCTGGAAGGGGCAAGAACCACCAGGGGCTGCCCTGAGACAGCCACCTCTGCAGCGGGCCGCTTCTCCAAAAGCACGTGATGGGGACTTTGAAGGATACACACGAAGGGGAGGAGTCACCCCCACCCTGCCTTGCCCTGGTGCCAAATGAGAGGAAGTGCAGCCCCTCCCAGCTCACCTGCTGGCCAGGTGGGTGAGGGAGGAGCCAATGGCAGGTGGGGAGAGAGCACCAGGTGGGGTGCTGGGGAAATTAATGTTTTGCCAATCAAATCAGACTGGTTGTGTCTTCTGATTATCTAAAGATTGCATCCCCAGGGCCAGGAATTTAGCTCAGTGGCACCGAGCCTGTCTTGCAAGTGCAAGGTCCTGAGTTCGATCCCTGGTACCGGGTAGGGGGTGGGGGGGAAGAACACATGCTCAGTGTAGCCATTCAAGTTTATAAAAATATATATTAAGGGGCCGGGGATTTAGCTCAGTGGTTTCAACGCCTGCTAAGCAAGCTCAAGGACCCGAGTTTGATCCCCGGTACCAAAAAACACACACACACAAAACGTATTAAGGGAGTAAGTGGAAATTCAGCCTCTGACCAGTGAGCCATGTGTACCAAGCTGGGAGCAGACCACATTGTCACCCTGCATCTAACTCTGCCCAGACAGTGCACCATGAACTCTTCTGCCTTTCTCTTTCTTTATTTTGGGGTTCCCTTTTCCCCCTCCTTGTGCTACCACAAATTATGTTGTTGTTGGTTTTTTTCTTTTTGATTCCAGGGATCGAACTCGGGTCCTTGCGCTTGCAAGGCAGGCGGCAGAACCACTGAGCTAAATCCCCGGCCCCACAAATGATGTTTTTGCCCTCCGTGTGTTCCATACCCTTCACTCATGTTTACCTAAGTCCAAAAGCAAGGTGGGTTGTCTGAGCGGCACAGGGAGGAGGAGAGCCAGAGGCTAAGGATCCAATTAGGGAGGGGCTAGGGATGTGGGTGGGAAGAGTTAAGGATCCAGCTAGGAAGGGGTTAGAGATCTAGCTGGAAGGGTTAGGGAACCAGAGATCCAGCCAGGGCAGGGATGTGGACCAGGGTTGGAGGGAAGGTCAGGAAGGCAGCGCCATTTGCTGGTCTGCCCCACAGTCGGGCTTAGAGCAGATGGAGTTGGATTTGTCCACACTGGGGTTTTGCCAGAAGTGTGATGGAAGGGAGGGACAGTAGAGTTAAGGGTACAACCAAGAAAGTGGCTATAAAGCTTGCCTGAGGGATTTAAAGTGGGGAATGGAAGCAGTGAGAAAGGGAGGGGCAGTTTGGGACAATGGAAGGTGGCAGGATCATTGGCCTGAGGGGTGAAGGGATCTGAGCCAGGGACCAGAGTTAGTGAGCTGACAAGAGGAATGCCTGACACCAGGTGAAGGGTGGTTCCTGTTTCCTGCGGATGTCCTACCCAGGGTGTGAGCCCAGGAGAAAAGCCGGAGATGGGCTGGGGGCGCAAGTCAGCCTCCTGCCTCTGGAAGCTGGAGGAGCAGGGGCCCTGGTATGCATGGGATTGAGGTCTTGCTGCAGGCTCCCACAACCCTGGCTGCACTGAGGCAGGTCAGCTTGGCTGAAAGGGAGACCTTGATGCCTCTGCTTCCTTCCGCCTGGTGAGCGCCATGGGAACACAGAAGCCTAGACTGCCCACCTCAGGCTCACTTGCACTAGGACAGGAAACAGCTCTGTTCTCAGCCAGTTGTCTGAGAGGGTCTTTGGACATGAAGCTGGACTTATTCCTAACAATCTTAGGACAGTCCTAGAAGCTGGGTTACTGGGTCAGGGTGGACATGAGCAAGTGTGTTTTGTAAACCCTGAAAGTGCAACATACATGCAGTGAAAGGGCCGAGCCCGTGGTGCACACCCCAGGCAGGTCCTGCTTGAGCAAGGTCCAAGGCTGCCGCTCTCAGAAGCCTCCTCCAGCTCCTCCCATCCTCACTCCCTCTCAGAGTGACCTTTACTCTGACTTTTGCCTGTTTTTCACTTTTTTCCTCCCAATGCTAGGGAATGAACCCAGGGCCTGGGATGTAGCTCACACTGAGCTACATTCCCAGCCCATTTTTATTTTTTAACTTTAAGGTGGGAACTCACTGAGTCACTAAACTGCCCAGGTGGGGCTCAAGGTTTCTGTCCTTCTGGGGTCATGGGCATTCACCACCATGCCTGGCTGGTTTCTTTCACTTTATAGAAATGGAATCAAACCAGGTATACTTTATCTGGCTGAGAATGGTTAGGGACCCAGTTATCCAGGGAGGGGTTAGGAATCTTGCTAGGGAAGGGTTAGGGACCCGGCTGGGGGGAAGGGCTCAGGGATCAGGTTCCAGGAAAAGTCAGGGAGGCAGTGCCATGCGTGTCACATCTATCAAAGTTATCAGCATTGTGGGTAATTGCAGCTTGCTATTGTTCGTTGCTATGTATTCATCCATGGTATGAGTATTTATTCATCAGTGCCATGGGTGACAGATCCTGGACTTGGGGCCATTATGAATGACACTGACATTCAGGCCTTTATACCCAGACTTTTTTTTTTCCCAGTGCTTGAGGAAGCGCTCCCTCATGGAGCTACATCCACAACCCTTTTTTAAAGTTTTTTTGTGCTTGAGGAAGCGCTCCCTCATGGAGCTACATCCACAACCCTTTTTTAAAGTTTTTTTGTTTTTTTTTTTTTTTTTTTTGGTACCGGGGATCAAACTTGGGTCCTTGAGCTTGCTAGGCAGGCAGCGAAACCACTGAGGTAAATCCCCAGCCCGAGTTTTCTTTTTTCTAAATTTTCTCTTTTCTATTCTTTTTCTCCACAGTCTTTTAAAATTTTATTTATTTTTGTTTTTATTTTGAGACAGAGTCTTGCTAAACTTCTCAGATTGGTCTTGAAGTTGCAATCCTCCTGCTTCAGCCTCCTGAACAGCTGGGGTTACAGATGTGTGTCACCATATCCACCACATCCAGCTTTCGTTGCACATGCACTTTTCCTGGGGGGGGGTGTCCTCATACCTGCCTTAGGAGGTTCTGACAGCTTTCCTCAGTGGTGCGACCAGCCATGCTGCCACACTACAGGACAAGAGTGACATAGTCCCTCCACATCCCCACCAAGCTTGCTTTAGTGATTCTTGTGGTTTTAATCATTCTGGAGGGGGAAGACATATGGTGGTTTCCTTTATTTTAATTTTATTTATTTATTTACGGCCTTTTTTTTGGAGACAAGGTCTCCTTGTGTAGCCCAGGCTGGCCTTGAACTCATGGCTATCCTCCTGCCTCAGCCTCCTAAGTGCT